TGCTGGGGATGATGTAGCAGAAGGCAAAAAAATTGTTCTTTCTACTGTTTTTCATGTACTTTGCAGTGCCCAGAAATATCATCTGCCACAGAGGAACGGCCTTACCAGTAGGCACCCTTCACTCTCAAGAGACTATGGCAGCAATGGCAAACCTATGGCACGCGTGCCACAGCTGGCATGCAGAGCCCTCTCTGCGAGTACGTGAGCTGTAAGTCACTGGATCGCTATCTCTGGCAGCCAAACCTGAGGATGGATCGCTATCTCTGGCAGCCGAACCTGAGGAGGCGGCTGCAGCCGCAGAGCTAGTGCCCTGCCAGGCAGCGGGCCACGATCCGGAGCAGCTGGTGCTGGCAGCAGCGAGCCGCCAGAGCTATAGGCAGTGGCAACGTTGGGCACAATTGGAGACGGATCCAGAGTGGGGTATGGAGGCAGCTCCGTGCCTGGGATTCCCCCTTCTGCCACCACTTCTGCTTCCACCGCTGCTGCCACCCACTGCCCACTGGGTTAGTGTTTTTTTCCCCCCGTTTGGGCTCATAAGGGCTAGCCCATCACTGGACTATGGTAACATGCTCCGATGTCTTGGAACAGCGTCTAGTGTGGCTGAGGAGGTCAATTCGAGAGTGACAGTCCCTTCCACACTGAAAACAACTACAAGCTGTCCCCTGTCCAGCTCCCTGAGTTTGCCTCGGCCTGCTGGACAAGTGTTTCTTCAAAATGGGAGAGGCCATAATGCACTGCCTGCCTCCAGGCTGAATGCTTAAATGTCAAGGATCCGTTCCTAAGGCCTTCAGATCCCACCAGCAGATATCTTTGTATTGCAGCTCTCAGTCTAGAGAGATTAAAGAGTTTTCCATCTGATCTACTCCAGAGACAGGTGCCTTCTGTTGCGGTTCCAAAAGCGTGCTTCAGCATGACAGCAAAAAATATCCCAAACAGAGTCAGTTGGTGCGTGGACACAGCCCTGTTTCACTTCACTTCGAATGTCAAAGAGATCTGATCCTGAGCCATCAAAAACTACAGTGCCTTTCATTCCCTCATGAAAGGACCTGATGATGTTAAGGAGCCGAGGTGGACATCCAAGGAAGGGCCTTGTGGCAGCAAAAAGAGCACAAGTGGGCTGCAGTCCCTGAAAGCTTATCTTAAATAATGTTATGTGCCAAGTCCTCCCTTACCACAGTGACCCTTTGAATTAGTGATTTCCAAAATATCCTTTCCTCAGCACCCCTGCCCTGGCTTCCTTTAGGGGGTCAATCCACCTTGTATTGGGTCTTCCTCTTTTCCTTCTGGCTTAAATCTTTCTCAGCAGTATTGGTGTTTCCAGAGAATCTTGCCTTCTCATTATGTCCCTGAAGTAGAGCTCAGTTTCAAAATTTTGTCTCCAGAGATGGTTCAGGCTTGATTTGCTCTAGTACCCACCGGTTTGTCTTTCTGAGAGTCCAGAGAGTCCAAAGCATTCCCCCAGCACCCTATTTCAAATTAGACAACTTTTTTCTCATCAGTTTTCTTCACTGTTCAGCTTTCACACCAGGATATAGCGACCAGGAATATAGGAGTGTGGATTATCTTAGTATTGGTCTCAAGTGACACATTCTTGCACTTAATCTTTTCAAATTGTTTCATTACAGACCTTCTGAGTCTCAGTCTTCTTCCGATTTCTTGGCTGCAACCTCTGTTTGGATTTATAGTTGAACCAAGGTGTACAAAATCTTTCACTACAGTATTTAAATTTCTTCATTGTCAGGATGAAAGCTATATAGTTCTTCTGTAGTCATTAATTTTTTTATCCTTACCATTCAATTATAGTCCTGCTTTGGCACTTCATTCTTTTACTAAAAATAATTCCAAGTGATTGGAGCTTTCCTGTCAATAAGACACTATCATTGCATATCTTTAGATGTTTCGGTCGTCCTTCATCTGTATTTAGTGAGGCATTTCCAGTTTGTGGGCCGTTGTTTTATTTTCCATATTTGCTGGCATATTCTTGTTAGAAATTTGACAGAATCAGTTTCTGTGGCTTGAAATAGTTCTATCAATATCCTCTCTACCCCTGGTGATTTATTTTGTTCTAGTCCTTTCGGCAGCTTTCACTTCACTTTCTAGGACTGCAGATTCTTCATAATAGGATTCCTCTTCACAGGAGTCTGTCATCTTTTGATCTTTTCCGTATAGGTCTTCAGTTTACTGTTTCCACCTTCTCTTTTTCTCTCTCTCCTGACCAGATAGTGTGCTTCCCTGCTGCTCATTCAGCATTTCTAATTGAAGCTTAAATTTCCCATTGATTTTATGGGATACTGGCGGAAGTATCTTGTTTTTCTCCTTGTGTTGTTATCTTTGCACTGGCTATTGTAATAGCTTCCTTCCTCTTTACATCACAATTGCTGAAAAACTGCATTCAGACTTATGATCCTATTATTTCACCTTTTGCTTGTCACTTTAATGTTTTATTTTTTCTGTTATCCATCTAAGTTTTTATTTACTTTTTAATACAGGAGTTGTATTTTTGCATTCTTCTCTAATGATATATCCAGTTTTTCTACTGTTTGCATTACTAAACACAATCACTTGCGTTTAGTAATGCAAATGTGGTATTTCTGTGGGCTTTAGATTTATGGGGAATGTTGTTCAAATTATATTTTGGCACTCAGATTTTTGTAGCGTTCTTTTTCAGGTTTATGTTAATGTTGGATATTAACAGTTCATTATCTGTCTTACAATCTGCTTGTGTTCTTGTTTTTGCATAGAAAAGACAGTTTCTCCACCTCCTACTTACCTTCTTTCTCTAACCTTCAGCCAAGTACTGTAATAACCACAGAAGGTATCTTCCACTTTGTGGAAACTCCATTTGCCTTTTGAAAAAGTCCTTCTACATATAGTAACTGTTAATAAAGATGCCTTGTTCTACTTTAGATTTTTCTAGAGTGATTTTATCATGCAAAATGAAACCAAGGGGAGCTGTTGAGACTGAACTGATCTCTTGGTGTTTCTGTATTGCTCTTTTTCTACCTCATACTCAGTTAACTAAAAAGAATGACCAAAATTCCCCAATAATTGACACATGTATTAGAAATACTTTATTCCAGTTCAGACCACAGGAGATAGAACTGATGAATTTTTGTCCAGCTTGTTCATGTTGAAATGTCTGAAATTATTCTGTTCAAGAATGGACATGTTAAGATTGGAGCATTGGGGGAATCTGACACATTCCACAAATATTTTCACAATATTTCACTTTCTGTTACCAGATTTATATCCATTTATTCTTTTGCATGACAAACAGTGTGATACAGTGGCTAGAATAGTGGACTAGAACTCAGGAGACCTAGGTTCAAATTTCTACTTGGCCATGAAAACCTTGGCCATGAAAACCAACCAAATAAACTACTACTTGAACATAAGTGTAAATTGTCCTAGGAGTTAGAAATTAAATAAGAGAATGACTCATAGAATTATGTGAAGCCAACAACCTAGTTCAAATATATGCATAAACACAAGCATAGATATCACCATGGCCAATATAGAAATCAGGGGCAATATATAGAAATCAAATAGGTGGCATAATCAAACATAGTGAATGAAGAAACTTTATTATTTTGTTTGAAACAAGACTAGGAGCAGACTGTGATGCAGAGCATGAATGATAAATTTTAAAAGTTAGAGAAAATATTTAAAAAAACACTAAAAATCATAGTGTAAACATAAAATTAATAAGAAATGTTATTTAAATTGTAATTCCATATACAGAATAGTTTTGGATTACAATACTGAGTTGACTGTAAACTAGAATTGTGTTGACACAAGAGATATGATCACGGAAAATGTATAAAGATTATTCCTGTAGCTAAATGAAAAGAAAACTGAAACACTTAAAATTGCTAATAATAGACAAGAAGCAAAAGTAAAAAGTGACAAAAATAGGGTTAGAATCCTAAATGCAACTTTTCAGCCACTATCAGTTAGAGTGGTCGAAATTACTAGATAGACGGGGTATAAATACAATTAATAATAATAACAACAACAACAACAACGACAACAACAACAACGATAACAATAATAACAATAATAGAAATCATGACAGTTCACACTTATTGAAACACAGCCCTAACAATTGCTCTGTTTGGGTGACAAGTAGTTAACTGATGAAAAAAAAGGAGTCAGCTTCTGGGATTTTCCCTTGCTTCTTGTCACTTTGTGACTGGTACTGAACACAAGAGGTATCCTGTGTAGACACCATCTTGACTTGCTGCCACTGGTATTGTCTAATCCGTTTGCTACTCGTAATTTGGCCTCCTTTTTCCTGCCAGCAATACGGGCATTTCCTGGCTTTTTGAATTATGGGTAAAGAAGCATAACATCTCACAGTCATAAAGCGGAGGCGTGTTTGTTTGGAGAAGCTGAATAACTAACATTGAGATTAAAGAAACGGAGTTAAAAGATTCCCCCCTCACAGCCGAATTAATTAGATGGCTTGCGCGGGGAAGATGGGTTTCTATACCACTGTTTCCCAAATTATAGCTCTCACAGGTAAACATTGATGTCAAGCAAGTACAGGGATATGGGAACTCGGTGCAAACGTGTGCAATTGGATGAACACGTGTACAGTTCTCGATCCACAAACGTGAAAATATTCTTTTTGGGCTACAACACTAGAAAATATTCTTCTTGGGTTACAACACTTGTCTTGCTTGACTCCTGATATTTGTCGCACTCAATGCTTGGCAAGTCCAGTTATATTTCGTAAACTTGTGTCTTCGTCGTGGTCTCTGAACAACAGCCGAAAACATTTTCTGTGTTACTGGAGGTCCGATGTCATCATGGCCACTGACGGCGACACAGGCGAACATCTATACAGGAGCTTTGACTTAAATAATGCAAATCTGCTAAACGCCTCTGTGAAAAACACTGAGGTAAATCTTTCCGTGGAGACAAAAGGTTCGGCTCCACGAGCCTTCCGGGACATCAAAAGGTTTGCGTGTGTTTTAGACTACAAGCACTACAACTCCCGAAATGCATCGGGAGGCAGAAAAGCAGCATTAGAAAATCGAAGGGGGAGAACCGGAGGAGAGCGGCACTAAAATGGGAGGAGGCGGTAGGAGCTCGCGCCTGCGCCATGAGGCTCCAGTGGTGTAACCTCCCCCGCCCCGCCGCCCTAGCAGGCAAAGGTGGCGATTGAGGCGAGGAAAGGATTGGGGCCCTATTCCCACTACCTCACAGTGACTGGAAACGGAGCGAGACACACACACACCCCGAGATCCACAGGAAGGGCCTGGTTTGGGGCAGCGCAGGAGGCCGCGGTAGGTTGGCGTCCTCGCAGTGAGGGTTTAACTTTGTTGTAACCCGGCGGCAGGAATGGGTGTCGGGTTTCCAACCGCCTCTCCTCCATCCCGGGTTCCCTCCCGCTGTTTTACCTCAGGGGCCGCATGCTCTTCTCGCTCTGTGCTTACACTAATAAGAGCCAGGATCTCGGTGGGGTGGGGCTTTCCAATGGAGTCGCTGGAAAAAAGTCCGGCTGTTTTTCCCTCAGAACTTGCCGTTCTTTGTGGGTCGATCACAACCTTGTAGAATCGACGTGTGCGGGAAGAAGCCTTTTTGGATCTTGTCCGGTTACTCTGTTTCACCATGTAAAACCAGACGGTAGAGAATAAAGTCCTGTGGCCGCTTAAAGGCTGACAGATTCATTTCAGGGGGAGCTTTTGTGAATTGGAATCGGGGGCTTCTCCGCGGTAATTCCGCAATTATGGAAGGGCCTCCCGCGGGAAATCCGCCTGGCCCCTTCACTGGGCACCTTTTAAAAAATTGCTAAAAACCTGGTTATTTAGACAGATCTTTCCAGATCAAAAAACTTTCTGATGTAGTAGTGCGTCGGATAACTTAACCTACCGCCATGCTTTTTTGTGTTATTTTATGTTGTTATTTTCTTTTGCTAATTTTATGGTAAATTTATTTTGCACTTTTATATTTTATGGCTGTTGTCGAGTTCTTTCTTATTATATTATTGTTTAGTTGTTATAAAGTGCCCAGAGTGGCCTTGGCTGCTATATGCGTGGTATAGAAATCAAACAAACAAATAAAAATAAATAAAATTACAGATGAAAACAAAATAAAAAGTAAAAGTAAAAAAAGACAACATCATGGCACCTTAAAGACTAACTTGTGTATTTTTTAAAATATGAGCTTCCGTGAGCATAAGAGAAGGAGATATCAGACATAAGAGAAGGAGATATAACACAGCAAATATTTATTTATTTATTTATTTATTTACAGTATTTATTTAATATCCTGCCTATCTGGTCAAGTGAGGACCACTCTAGATGGCTAACAACCTTAAAAATAATACAGTAAACAATGTAAATAAACAGTTCTAAATCATAAAAACACTACATTACAATGCCAAAACACAAAACATAGAACAGTAAAGAAGGAAAGAAAGAGGTCATGAGTTATGTGATGGAAAGGCCTGCCGAAACATCCAAGTTCACAGTGATTGTATTTGTGATTGCGGTTTACTTCCTAAGACACATGGCAGATAAGACGTTGGCAAAATTAAAGTGAGGAGAATCGGAAAAAGCAAAATATTGTGTCACTTTAAAAACTAGCAGATCTATTATAGTGTGAAGTTTAATATATCAAGATACATGTTCTCTGTGTTTGTATATTTCCCCATTACCAAGTAGATCAATAGAGAGCATGGCTCTACAGACATGCACTAGGTGTCTGAGGAAGGTGATTTTGGTACTGCATTTGAAAGATCACCCTGCAATTAGTCTTTATAGTACCACAGTCTTTTGCTGTCTTTTTTGTTAGGCCGCAGGTTTTATGTTACGTGTTTTGGTGGAGGTGAATTGGTGGGGCCTAGGGGGTGGAGCTTTCTGCTTTAAATGAGCATGTCCTAGGACCGTGCACCGTTAATTCCCTGATTCTATCTCTGGCCCTAATATGGTAAATAGGAAAGCCAATTAGATTTGCATACACCTGGGAGGCAGGAAAGTTCTAAGGGTTGGATCATACTTCCGCACTACTAAAGAGCAGGCCGGGTAGGTGGGGCTCGTCAGCCGTGGAAGGCAGCCCATCTAGGAGAATGAAAACTCCAACTTTAAACCTCCACTGCCTTGTGGCTATATCCATCGATGGAAAAGGCTTCAGGAGTTAACCTAGAGGCAAAATCCGGAGCTCGAGTGCTGAAGGCAGCTCGTTTCGTTCTGTCAGCTCCTGTGACATTGCTGGAACCAGTTGTCTTGGTTCTTGCCTTTCCATTGGACCATTTCAGCAATGTGGAGAGGGGAGATCTGCTGCTTGGGTAACAGCCTATCCTCCATATTACTTTACCCAGGCTTCATGCTCTGGAGAGGACACTCCTCGATTCAGAGCATGTTACCATAGTCTCTCGAGACTGAAGGATGCCTATGATGGAGGTGAATTGTAATACAAAAAGCTCAAATAAATCTGGTAGTCTTAAAGAGGGTGAATTGTAATACAAAAAGCCTAAACTCAAATAAATCTGGTAGTCTTAAAGAGGGTGCAGAGTATGGTTGCTCTTCCAAGTTGTCTTCAAAACTCCCTTATGTGTAGGAGTGGGAAACTGTTTTTGTTTTAAACAATGAGAGTAAGCAAGTTTTTGTTGGTGGTGGGGTCATGCATACACAAGAATAATTCCTAAGATTGCATCCTGATATCAAACGTACTAATGTTTCCTGCAATGCAAGTATTAGAGTAACAGAACTTTAAGAAAAAGCTAACATAAAATAAACTCAAATCTATGTAAATGCACATGCAAATATCATTTGTAGTTAAATACAGAGTGGCCTTGACCGCTAGATGGACAGTATAAAAGTCAAATAAATAATAATTTTTTCCTGATATATTTTACTCTCTGGATTACTTTGACATTAATATTATGTAATAGGTATTATTTATTTTTTATGATTTTGTTATCCACTTTGAGCCTATGGAGAAGAAACAATTAATTAGAAATACATAAAGGTTGGATTTGTGTGTGACTCACATTTATTGACATGGCAAGTTATCAAAAAAGCTGGCTTTCATTCCCTAGATTTTTAGAGAATATCTTGAACTCCAGTTGTGTCTTGATGACCAGCTCCATTCCTCCTGATGCTGTTGGAAGAAGAATCCTCTGTAATGGAGACTATGGAACTGTTCTTTATGTTGGCAATGTTCCACCAACAACAGGTATAAAAAATATTTTTCTTTCACTGCACAACATTACTGTATGCTGAGGCAAAAGAAGGAGCATTTCCTTTTGACATTATATATTTAAAGCTGTGATACAGAAAGATGTGAACTTCAAAGCTTGGCAAAATGGAATGTGATTCTTGCCAAAGATGTGCTTTTCAAGGACTAATGCGTAATGTTTGGATTTTGTTAAGGATGTGCTGTTATGAATTCATGAATCTTACATATTTTATGTATTTTAAATGACAGTTGAGTAAGATTCCCAAATTCTATGGGAATTTGAAATCATGCATAATTTTGCAGGCATGTTCTCTTTGTTTAATGTTAGAGCTATGCATTGTGCTTGGTTGTATTCCTTTGGAAAAATAACTGCCAGTCTCTAGTAGGTCCAAATGTGGGACTAGAGAGGACAAACACTGATAGTGATGACTTAATTAACTATTGAGATGACAATATTTGTCACTAGTATTTAGTTACTGTAACAGTGCAATCCTATGCATGTTTATTCAAACCAAGTGCCATTGAGATTTAGGATTGTAACTCTCAGTTCTTAAGCCTATACAGTACTGCTTAAGGAAAAAATAATAGCAATGAAATTGTAACTTGCTTTCTATTTCTGAGCAAATTCTGTTATTCATTGCTCATAATAGCAAATTTCATTTGTACAAATAAAATACAATACTTGAAAATACTGACAGATGCAAAAAGTATCTGTTAACTTTCACACAGTATTACATCATCAATTTTGTTGCTCATTTTAAAAGACTGTTTAGTTCTAGAGGTTGTAATAGTTGGATTCTTTTGACACCTAATAAATACCATTCTTAATTTAATCTTTGAATGAGTTGGTGTTAGTTTGTGCTTTACATCTGAAAACTAATCACTGGACTCAGCGTACCCTTTAATTTTCAGCCCCACTGGTTGGGGCGCCGCCTCTTGTGCATGTGACTTTGCCCTCCCTGCCCGTGAGAGGTTCTGTCACGACAGGAACCAAAGGGGCTGAAAATGGTCACTGCTCAGAGGAGGAGAAAAGCTGCATAGAAGGAGGTGGGGTCATGCATGCGCAGCCATGTGCCTTAGAGAAAACTTTGACTGGACTTCCTGTGTAGCCTAAATCCCCAGAGACCTACCCAAACTTAAATACAACTGCAATTACATGTTAAAATAAAAAATGCTAATTTTGAAACAGACAGTGCCTTTGCTGATTTGTATATACTCCGATTGGCAGTGGTTGATTCAGAGATTGAGACAAACCTCTGAGTTGAAAAGGAAAGAAAAACACACTTTAGTAAGTGACGTGGAAAAATAAATCCATGCAAATCCAGACTTAGTCGTCATCATCATCTTAGAACTGCAGGGCTGAAAGAGATCCTATGGATCATTGAGTCCAGCCCCTGTCAAGGAGGTACAGTGACTTTGCAGATAGACCACTGAGCTAGCCAACAGTTCTTGTCAATGATGAAATTTTTATAAACACCTCAGATAAAATCAGATGTAGTGGTTTGGCTAGGAGAATTATTTTTCAGCAGATGTGGGAGGGGCTGATTTTCACTTCTGTGCACCCTAATCCTATTCTAGACAGCTATGGAACTCTAGAAGAGATTTTAGAGGTGGGGGGGGACAAAGGCCAGAATCTTATTGGAGCTCACATAAGATGTGTGTAACCTGCTTTGACTAGTTGACTAAATGCTGGGGCATGTATAAGTTATCTGCCTGGTCACAAAGACCTATTCAGAGGATCTGAGGAGCTTTGTGAGACTCTTTCAGATGGGTGTAGTTGCTGAGACCTAGATGTGGTATGAAGAGTGGAATTACAAATTTAGAAAGTTGCTTAGCATGTTTCTCTGATAACATCTTACAGCTTTGTCCTCTTATTCTGTATATGATTCCAAATTCTTTGGAAAAATGTGTTCAGATTAAGTTTAAAGGGTCTGTGGTATCCAGCTGTATTGCGGCCTGTCTGTATAGCTGAAGTATCGTAGGACCCCCATATCTGTGGGGAATTGGTTCCAAGCTACCATGATGATGAAAACCATAGATAATAGTGAGTGTTATACATAACATGTAAAACAGTGTTTCCCAGAGTGTGCACCACCAAATCTAACAAGGGGTGCAGTGGGAAAGGGAAGGAAACATAGAACAAGGTCTCAGCCGCCCAGCTGCAGCTCCTCTGCAGTGACTGGCAGTCCTGATCTCAGCTGCCTCCTTGGGCTGCATTGCTCTCACCTGGTCAGGCCTGACCTGGCAGATGCTGCCTTGGCTGCTTGCTTGTGGGCAGGTTGGGTTGTCTCCTGGGATGCCTGCTGCCTCACTGGCTGCCCCCAGAGCTGCCTGTCTTGGACCCCACCCGACAGCTCCACCCAGCCACAACTCCGTGGGCTATTAATCAGTGGGCTGTGTATGCAAATTGGGGAAAACTGCAATGTGAACACAAGGATGAAAAACAGAGGTTAGTGCTTATTTACAGAACTGAAGCAAACCCCCACAACCATTAGGTTGGCATTTATAGAAAGATGTTTAGAATTGGATGTGGAGTACATTCAAATTTCTGGAGGCATTATAGAGTGAGTGTGAAAAGGAAATAGATCAAAACCGTATTGCTACATGTCTCTAATGGAGGAGGAGAACATGGAAGTACATTCAGGTTTGAATATTTAAAGTTTGTTCAGTTTTTAATAAAATCTGTATCTTACTATTGTATATGCAACAGATATAGCCAGCCCCCCCCCCCCAATTCTTGTATTTGTAATTTGTGTTTATAATTACCTTAGGAATTTGGCTTGGAGTTGAATGGGACAACCATCAAAGGGGAAAACACAATGGTAGTCATGAAGGAATACAATACTTTAAGTGCAGGTGAGTAAATCTTCAAATCTGAAGTACTTTTGTAATAAATAGATGAATTGGGGCAGGGGGAAGAGAAGACAGAGGTTGCAAACCTTTTGTTGGATTCCTAAGTCATTCACACCTCAGACAGAAATTCCAAATGTGTGCAGTGTATTTTTATAGCAAATAGCATCTATATATTAACTTTAAAATTTAGGTATTTCTCAGTCAACTTTGTGGATCCTGTAGCCTTGATCAGATTTAATGGTGGTTGTGGGTTTTTCGGGCTCTTTGGCCATGTTCTGAACACGGCCAAAAAGCCCGAAAAACCCACAACAACCATTAGATCCGGCCGTGAAAGCCTTCGCGAATACTGTACATTGGTCTGATTTGTCTGTTTAGTGCACAGCAGAGTGGATAAAATCATTGGCCAGGATTCTGTTATGAACATGTACTGGCATATGTAAAATGGTGTGTCAGCAGTGTATTCATGATTAAGGAGGTAACAGTTGTGTTCCCTGTTTATTGTTAGTTGTGAGACTTGGTATGCAATAAGGAATATAAGCATTGGCTTTTTAAGTAGGAGTATTTTTAAATTTAAATTGGGTTAAAAAATAAATTGCTATTCAAATTTGTTTTAAGTAATGATCTGTATGTTAGGACAGCCTTTATTTATAATGTGTTACATGTCAAACATTTATTATCAAATAGTTATAATGCATTTCAATTTTACATTATGAGACAATGTACCCATATAATCTATTTTAAAAAGTTTTGTGAATTGGATCCAATATTTCTTGCATCTGGGCCTCAGTTTTATTAGACTCCTTACTTTCTCTGCAGTTTAAATCATCTTTCTTCCTCCCTGCCCTCATTACTGAGTCTTGTAAATACAGTCAGAAGAAAATGCAATTCTCAGACTGGGCTTGAGTCTCCAGAAGTACATTGTTATTGGAAGCAATATGAGACTTAACAGGCCTGATAAGCCTAGTTTTCTAAGTCCTACTGAAATTAATCCAAGAATTTTTTTTCTTTTCTCTGTGTGGTCTAATGTTGGAAGTTCTTGAAAGTGCTACTATAGTCTGCAGGATTGTTTCAATAGTTTCCTTTTGTGGTACTCATTCCTGTAGAGTAGCCATCCTCTGAACTTTGTGTAGACAGAGTCAAACCTTTACCTTTCTCTTTGAGGTATAACTTTGAGACACTGAAGGTGTCAAAAAATAGGATTATTGAATGTTAAGTTGGTTTGGGCAAGGAGATTGTGAAAAATATTTATTAAGGTTATAGAAAGCAAGAGTGCGCTTTTGGAGGGATGAGTTGCATAATTCTATAAAAGATTTCTGAGTAGTGATTGAATTTATGATGTACTGTAATGCAAAGCCATGCTAATATGCAAAACACAGAGTATTTTGTTGAATTCATAGAGATCCAGAAATGCAGCCCTTTATTCCAACAAGTCTCAAATGTTTAAGAAGGGAAGGAAAGAATTGCTTGCAGCTGCACCCTTTAACTTTTTTATAACAGCTGTAGCAGTTTACACTGTGTACAGTACAGCTGGTTTTGGACACAAGTGTATGCCGATATTCCGTATGAGTGGTCTATACCTCTAATAAGGGAGATGCTGATCCACTTAAGTTCAAGGCAGAGATGTGAAGACTCAGGAATATTGAGGGGAGGAAACACCACCACCACCACCCCCGTTTTTTGAAAGAAAATATTAGTTATTCCAAGAGAAAAATTGTAGACCTTGGCAAACTGAGAAAAATTCTGGTGACAAGATTTCTGTGGTAGAATGAGTGAAATGCTTTTTAAGATGAAGGCTGAAATATTGTTCTATGCCCACTTAAGGCTCATGTCATCAGCAGGACTAAAGTCATATTGCTAGCAGTGATTTTCTGTAATTAGAGGCTTTGTCTTATCCTGCAGCTCTCATAGCTTTGTGACAATGAAAGGCTTCAGTATCTCATGAAATTTTATGCATCTAATCTGGTGTTTAACTACCTTTGAATAAAAGTAATTACATTTTGAAAAGGCAGGACTTCAGGGGTTTACTCCATTTTGCTGGTGACATAGAACAGGAGCTGAATTCTGCATGTTCAGAAGTCTCTGTCTTGTAATGAAGCAGAGATCACAGCTACCCACATACTGGAGGTTTACTGCAGGGAAGGATGAGAAGCAAAAAAGGAAAGCGTGCTGGTTATATACTGCCCCATAGCGCTTAAAGCACTCTCTGGGTGGCTAAAAATTTTTATTATGCAGGCTGCACATTGCCCTCCCCCAAATCTGGGTACTCAGTTTACTGTCCTCAGAAGGATGGAAGGCTGAATGAATCTCGAGCTGGCTACCTGGAATTGAACCTGGGCTGTGAACAGAGTTTTGGCTGCAGTAATGCACTTTAAGCACTGTGTCATGAGGGTTTTAGTACAAGTTGTACAGAAGGACACAACAAATGACAGTTTGGCATATGTGCCTTCTCAGCTTTACAAACCTTCCCTGAAAAGTTGCTATTCCTGTGTTCCTGTTATTCCTATGCTTTTTCTATGTTATCTAGTTACCTGATTCAACTCTTGTCCACCTCAAACTAATCAGCTTTAGGTGTTCATAACATTTGATCATGCATAGACAGGGTCTTCATCATATGGGAAGGATAATACTTACATTTTGCAGGTCAATAGTAAGGATTGTTGAGAATGTACTTGGAACACAATGCTTAAAAGTTCTATTAATGTATGTTTGTATTCTTGAACTCTTTCATGGCCAGGATCTGATGGTTGTTGTAGGTTTTTCGGACTGTTTGGCTGTATTCCAGAACACGGCCAAACAGTCCAAAAAACCTACAACCACCAATGTATGTACCGTGTTTCCCCCAAAATAAGACTGGGTGTTATATTAATTTTTGCTCCCAAAAACACAGTAGGACTTATTTACAGAGAATGTTTTTTTTTCATGCACAACAATCTACATTTATTCAAATACAGTCATGTCATGTCATGTTCTGGTTGCTGCATGATGGTGGAGGGCAGGGTTTCACTTAACTAGGGCTCATTTTTGGAGTAGGGCTTATATTACGAGCATCCTGAAAAATCATACTAGTTTTGTTTTCAGGTTAGGTCTTATTTTCGGGGAAATAGGGTATGCATTATATTTTTATCTTGCCCATTTTTCAAGGAACTCTAGGTGTTAGATGCTATTCTGGTACAAAAAGATTACAAAAATATCTGAACTGTAAACCTGGGGTCGGGGGAGGGTTCTAGTATTTATAATGTTCTGTATTAATTCCTTTTCAGGCACCCTACAGGGGGATCTTTTGTGCGTCCAAACAAAGCAAATTTTGGAATAGATTTTCTGTCTGCTGTCAGGGAGAAATATGGATTGAATGAAAATGAGCAAGATGCTGATAATGGAAGAGAAATATCAATAGTAATTGGAAGGAAGACAGTGGAAACTGTGGGGTTTGATTCCATTAAACAAAAGCAAAAGCAAGTATATTTCCTCTGCAAACAAGCAGCATCAGAACATGGAACGTTTGATTGGCTCATCGATAGTTACATTTTAACAATGGATGTATTAGCAAAGCTGATGTCTCTTCTTTTTGTATGCCTGTTGCATACATATGTACTTCATACAAAGAAAATATACACTGGTGAAACTACAGGTTTAATGAATATAGTCCAGACAAGTTCAGGAAATGGGCACAGCTGGCACACTAGTTTTAGTTGTGTAAATGCACTCCTGGCCACTGCTGAAACCTGGAATTCAGGCTCAAGAGACAGAACCAGAAACACTGGCAAGCTGCACACTAGTGTTTTCAGGAGAATTTAAGCCCATTTGGTACAGGCTGAATCTGTCAAGAGTATATCTGCTATACTTTGAACATGTGTACATAAACATGTACCATCAGAAACATTTTAAGCTGATTCAAGAAAGAATGTGGCTCCCTGGAGAGAACTGTGGAAACCTAACAGAATTCAGTGCGCTTCCTTTAACTGGATGCAAAACTTGACAGGCCAAAATTAGTTTAGAAAAATACTCTGTATTTACGTATGTAACTTAAACACCTTATCTTCAGCATAACATAACAGCATACAAAATCTGGTTGCTGGCAACCCAGTATAACATGACTGCTCCTGAACCAGAGCAGTAAAGTAATGCGCTTGCAGAGCTTCCTTTATACAGAGAAAAAGCCTCTGTAATCAGCAACTCCTGCCCGAGGCAACGCAAGCCTCTGACTCTGCCTGGCATCCAGCAACAGGTGTATGCTGGCACTTTACAGTCTTTCTTACATATTTTACTTACATGAGTACATTTCATATGTTCAAGACTTTAATTTACAATATAGTGACCTGCTCCGTTACAAATATCTTGACAGAATCCCTGTTCTTTTATCTGCCTTTTCTTCAGCCAGGAGCACCTCTGTCTTGCCTGTATTAAGTTTCAGTTTATTTGCCCTCATCCAGTCCATTACTGAGACCAAATGCTGATCTAGATCTGAAATAGCTTCCTAGCATTTAGATGGAAAGGAGAGATAGAGTTGGGTATCATCTGCATTCTGGTAACCCTGAATCTCAAAACTATAGACAACTCCCAGCTGTTTCATGTAGATGTTAAATATCGTTGGGGACAAAACAGAACCCTGAGGGACCCTTCAGGCCAGTAGCCAGGATGTCAAACAGGAGACCCCAAGCAGTAGTTACTCTAATTATAGGAACACAAGTTGGCCTAGTCATTAAACTCTGAATTGCTTCATATATTTACTCATTTAGATTCCTTGTGTTACTTACATGGGGCCTTTTCTTCTGCTTTGCTCTTTTTAATGTCTTCTGTTCATTTGATCCCAGGAATATGACTGTTAGAAATATTAACATAATTTTAATTCTTTTTTATGCATCTTTTTTTAAAAAACAAAGAAACAATATTCATAGTTCTTAATCTCCCAGATCTGTGAGCCATTTTTACTATGTTCTTTATTCTAATAGATGCTTTTTTCTTGTAGGCAGTTGCACACATTGACTGACATCTCAGTAGATCAATGTGCAGTAAGTGTTGCTGGCGAAGAAGAAGAAATCAGAAGAACATGCCCTAGAATCCTTTTTTCAGATTCCTGAGTTAAATAGCAGATCAAGTGCCATTAAGTCTTATGAATGTTTTTTGTTTTAGAGTTCTGTCTCATTGCATAGTATCCACTACATGTATTGCATGAAATTAGGATTATAGGAAACACCTTGATACTGAATCATTGACTAATCAGTCTAGCCCAGTCATAAATCTTAGGCAAAATGATGCACATACAAGAATGATTGTGCAGTGTTTTCCCCCACCATAGCAGGCTGTCCATTGTACAATTTTATAACCAGTGTGCAACTGAATGTTTGAAGGAAGCCCACCTGAGAAAGAAACTGCTTGCATTACTTCAATGCCTGTCGAATTTTGGAGGGAAACACTTTCTCCACCAGTGATTCAACTCCCAGCTCAGACTAATGCCACTGTATGTGCAGCTTCGACATACAGTTTCTGGACAGACCTGTGTGCTTGAATAATGGCCTCTTTTCTCACATCATGTCCTGGATGGCACCATTAGACCAACCCAGCTATGTGCTATCATGTTCAGGCACTGGGGCAAAGGTGCGCGTACACACACTCTCTTTCTCTCTCTGTCTGTCTCTGTCTCTCTCTGTCCCCCCCTCCCATCATAGCAACAAAACAAGCTATCTTACACCAAGTGAGATCTTTGGACAGTATTGTTGGCACCAAGTGGTAGTGGTTTCCCCACGTTTTTCAGGTTGACTGCTTTTTTTATCCCAATCTGGAAATGCAGAGGGTTAAAATTGCTACCAACTAGATATACCAAGAATGCTAGCTGCATGGTCTGCTCTGACTGACAGCAGCTGAGGTTTGCCTCATCATTTGGTGCTTGATCTTTTTAGCAAGTAATGCTTGGAATTTGGAACTACGGCCTTTTGTGTGCTGCATTTGGTCCTTTTGATATTTGTACACCATCAAATTATATTCTGGACATCTTCATATATTCAGTGCGTAATATTTCGTAAGTACAATACTTTAAACATAATGCAGGCAACAGTGGAAAATAACATGAATACAACAGATTGCCATGAGTATATTACATCTTAAAAATGCTAAAACATTCAGCACTTCAAAAGCTTTGGAAAATACGTTATTCAGCTGATACTGGAGCGATATAAGATGAAAAATACGTTTTGGTTTTGTGAAAAAGAAGATGCAGGAAAATAAAAAAATCTAGCCATAGAGAGTTTTTGCACAATATGTCTTAAGTGTTAAAAGAAAATTATTGCCTGTGTTATCACCAGTAACAGTCATTTTATAATAAAGTGATCAGAGATGGGAAGAATTACTTTTTTGGACTACAGTTGCCATGCTGACTGGGATTCTGGGAGCTGTTGCCCAAAAAGTACCTTTTTCTATCTCTGAAAGAGGTGCAGCAGCAACTGTCTATAAGCAATACTCAGATGCAGGAAAAATCAGATGCAGGGGAGAATCACCTCTTATACCTAGGCAGCAACTGATTTCAAGATTTGGAGACCTGTGCTAATGTCAGTTAATGGCTCTGAGAACAGCAAGATGAACTTGAGGTTTCAAAGTGAGCATTGTTCTTTTCTTAATATACGCACACAGATATCAGACGAATAAATCTATCTAAAAATCTTTTGTCGTCCTGGAATGAAGTGGTTCGTATTGCTTGTCAACTTCAAAGCCTAGAAATTCTTAATCTCAGGTATTATTATTTAGTCATACATGGGTTGACTCCAATACACTTGTGGATAATTTCATTGATCCCTTTTTAGCCCACAGTGGCCCGTTTAACAGTGTGATAGGCAGCATGAGGAAAATTAGTGAAAAGCACCTTGCCCCTTCCATTCACTGAAAATATCCACTGGATCTCAGTTCCTTCTGTGAGTGGAAGGGGCTGATCTATCTTCATCTTAACTTCTTTTTCTGTTACTTTGAAGAGCCAAAATAATAATACTGAACAACATTACTTGGCCTACAAGAAAATGACTAGGTGGTAGTTCAGGCTTAGTAGAGGAGCTATACTTGAGGCAGGGACCATGTTCACTCCTAGCCACTCATCAGTGCAGAAAAAGATGACGAGGAGAAGAGAAACTATTAACCAGCCCTTCTGATAGTTTTCCCTAATTTTGGGACTTGGTCAGTGCTTGTACATCCTGAGTCTTAAGAGTGTGGAGTTAGCTTCATATGTCACTTGTCATCCTGATTCGAAAGGCCAGAAGTATGAGAAGAGAACCCCCACTATCTGATCATTAGGCAGAAATTGTATATTTTTCCTGCTAGCCTCCAGGGACCTGTGTTAATTGGGAGGCCAGGGCTTTCCTGGCCAAACATGGAGTCTCCACAGGCTATATGTTCTTTTTTCCCTTTGTTGGCTAGACACAGAATATTGTCCAAATCATTAGCTTCCCAGGTACAGTGACATGTTTTTCAATTATTCATATAATTGATAATACTGGAAAATGATATGCAGATTTTATTATTTATTTATTTAACTTATATGCCGCCCACTCTACCCAAAGGTCTCTGGGAGGCTTACAACAATTAAAATTCATTAAAAATAAAATGATTTAAATACAATTAAAATATAATTAAAATTGCCATCAGGACCCACAGATGACAATCCTCTGGATCCAGATGTTGGAAGAGGGACCTGAGCATGGTGGGAGCAATAGAACCTGAATTATTTAGACACATTATAATGCTGGGTCATTAAAAACTAAGGAACTAATGTCCCTCCTTTTTAGTGTCCTTCAGCACAACAAACATAATGTAGTTTGGGCAATGAAGCTGGGCAATTTTCCAATCGGTGGCAATTTCATGCTTTTTGGAGTAGTTCACAAAGCTAAGATCCTAAATGAAAGATATGCATATTGCATGCTACTGGCCTAACAGTAATTTCATGCTAGAGCAAACAGGCATATCTCACTGCTTAAGGGAGCACCACTTCTAAATACAGTATGGGCTAAGTATATCCTTTAGTTTGACCATATAGAAAAGTTATTAGATTTCCTAGTGTTTCTGTTTAGCAGCAGCAGTTTCTTAAGGCCAATAGTAATGGAAGAGGGTTTTAAAAAATAAACCTTTTTGTCTGGACACACAAGCGCACACACGCATGCATAAATGCACACAACATTCAAAGCTGTTTGCTCTACTGTGGAAAGCATGATGGAAGCCAGAGAAGGAAAGCAGCGCTAGGAAAAATAATTAACCTCTCTTTTTTGTGTCTTGTTGTTGTATTCAGACTGGAGTCCCTGTGTACCTTTCAATATGAAAATATAGTATGGATCTCATCTATTGGTTGGCCCTTAATTTATTGTTTTAGGACTAGGTTTGCTTTTACATTTGATGTGATTTTTAATGGCTTGCAAAGAAAGAGATTGATTTAAGACTTTTTGAAGCAAACATCACAGGATGTTCAAAATATACCATAACTACTTCCAATATCTTTAATGCGGTGGCATAATTAGGCACATAACAAAACGCAGTATTTGTCTAAAGCATGTTTCTTTGTTTCTTCCTTGTTGCAGTGAAAACAAAATAAAGTTTCAGTCTACTTCACCATCTGCTTCAGGAGCTTTTTGTAAATTAAGGGTGCTAGCGCTTAATCAAACAGGAGTAACATGGCCTGAGGTAATGGACTTTCATTCCTCAAATACTGTGTAATTATGCTTATGGTTTTATGCTACTGTTTTTGGCAGGAGAATAAATTTGGGAGAGATTTTCCAGTCTTTAGTCCACACAAGAAAAAAAATCTTTCATCCCATGAGATTCCACAGATTGTTCCCCTGTGAAAACTCAGGGTAGGAAATGCTTGAAGTAAACGCTTGAATGTGTCTGAGAAAAATAAAATTAAACTTCATTCTTTAGTTTTTTAAATAACATATCCAAATTGCATTAACCTGGTACAAAAGACACCCATATATATTTACAATTAAATAATTTTGAGGGAAATAATCATTCTGGTGCTTTTGTTTTTAAAGGAATGTCAGTCAAAAGCCCTTGTCAGTTTTTCTGCAAATCATGCACAGATTTCCTAGTAGACCCAGATCTATCATCTGCCACCCCAGTTTCAAACAACTTAAAGGTGTGTGTGAGGTGTGTGTGTGTGATTTACAGGTTGCAGACTTAATCTGTTCTCCCTGTGTAGGCCCAACTCCCCTTATAGTGGGGATTTCCTAAAATGGGAAGTACAATTAAATTTCATATGTTTGAAAACTAAACAAACATAATATTTCAGATGATGAAGCGTTAGAATCACAACCATCTTGTATACCATGTGTAAACATACATTAAAATGGTTTATTTTAAAATTTGGCATAATGGATACATTTTGTCATAACGTTTTCTCTTAAATTTATTTTTTAAAAATAATAATTAACTAGATAATAAAAGTGATTGTTTGGTTGCTAATCCAATCAATTATACTTGGAATTAAGTTCCAAAGAAGCCACTGGAATTTATTACTCAATACATTTAATACAATTGTGTATGTCTAACCATGTAATTGAATGTTAAAGGTGGCAGAGGTGAAATCATTCATACTTGTAGTGAAACTCACTGTGAAGTAAACTCTTGTATAATGAGACTGGTGAAAACGTCTTTCCTCAGTAGCTTCCCAATTTCCTAAAACTTCTCAGAGTATTGGCAGACCTTACTGAATGGCAAGGGCATGAGCCACAGAGAAATGAAGGAGAAGGGGAGAGTCTTTCAAAATGGTGGCTAGCAGGTGCTCCATAACCCCACAGCAGTGGGGCTGCTGAAAAAGAGGGTGGAATTCAGGAGTCAGTTTCTGTCAGTCTCATTACATACACATATGTGTATGTAATGTTTATGAGCAAACATGTGTAACTTATCAGAATGCTCTAGCTGTGGATTTTATGCATCTTCAGTAGTGGTGAAATGACAGATTTGGAAAGGCAGATCTGCTACATACAGTATTAAAATCTGAAATCACAGCCATTAAAAAGTAGCTACTTTCTTGCTGTTGCGATTGAAGGTTACATTCTGTAGCTACCTGAGTTGAGGTAGCAGCAGCAAGTGGCCTGCTGTGGGGCTGAAGCAAGATATTACAGTATAATTGGGGTGCATAGGGTCCCTGGTTTAAGATAAGTCATTCAGTACTCATGAAACTGGCAAAGCTGCTGCTTTGTTTGAATATTTGCTCCGCCAAGTGCAGTTTTTGAACCTAATGGTGTTTTCCCTTCAGGTTCTTTCATGTGCTGCAGGGTGGCCAGCTCTTGAAGAACTCTACCTTGCATCCAATGGTATTTCACATTTAGAAAGGTATGGGGACCTTTTAGAAAGGGATGGAGATAACGTGAAGTGCTATAGCCAATGCTGTGCAGTTGTGTCATTGCTTATTAGGATGCCAAACATTGAACATAATTTTTCTATCAGCCATGCTGATAATTATGAAAAATGCTTAATTGTGTGTGTGAACGTGAGATATATGCCACTTAGGAGCAGAAGAGAAATGAAGAAGTAGCATTCAAATCTGAGGCCCCAGACTGCTTGTCACCTCATCTCACACCCTGGCATGGCAGCACTCCCTTGCATTTGTCTGACTAAGAGCTAGTCAGCAGACCACTAAATGTGATAATATTTGACGAAGCCATTAAAGTTCTTAAGCTTTACTTCCTACACACTGAAATAACAAGATACTTCGAACAATTGAATATTTTAGTGAAGATGTTGTTCACTAATTTCTTTATTCTTGCTGTTGCCAGTCATTAATTATTTGAGAAAAGCCAAAATATTCTGAAAGACAACAAATGTTTTCTATTGGTTGCTTTCTTGGTTCCATCAAGACAATCCAAAGCTTGATAAGACCCTGGTTTTAACTGTAAGCATCTCTAGATGGAAGAAGCTCAGATTACCAGAATGAGAAATAGCCTGTATGAGACCCTTGATAAAGGTAAAGGTTTCCCTTGACATTTAATCCAGTCGTGTCTGACTCTAGGGCACGTTGCTCATCCCTGTCTCCAAGCCGTAGAGCCACCGTTTGTCCATAGACAGTTTCCGTGGTCACATGGCCAGCGCTACTAGACACGGAACACTTACCTTCCTGCTGTGGTGGTACCTATTTATCTACTCACATTTTTACATGCTTTCAAACTGCTAAGTTGGCAGGAGCTGGGACAAGCAACGGGAGCTCACTCCGTTGCGTGGATTTGATCTTACGACGGCTGGTCTTCTGACCGTGCACAGAGGCTAGGTATGAGACCCTAGTCGGCCAGAATAAGCAACTCTAAGATAGATGGACCTATGGCCTGACTCAGGACCCTGTGGAACCAGCATCTTAGAAGTTGTTTAATTCTGTCCTTAGGAACTGTTAGGGCCATCAAGAATAGAATGATTCAGAGAACTCTCCTGGACATATTATAGGCTGTGGTCACTGTCACAATATACAAACAGTAATAATATCAACAAAATGGAGAATATTTCTAGAATGGTAAGGCAAAGGAACAAAAAATGTAACATCTTTTTTTAAAATAGTAAAGGTGTTTAGTGCTTCAAACATTTTAAAAATGTTCTTAAGTATGCTGTTTCTCCCCACAGGCCTGTCGATGTCCTGCATAACTTGAAATGGTTAGACCTTTCAAACAACCACTTAAATGACAGTAATGAGCTTCAGCTAATTGCTGATCTCCCCAGGTAAATGATATATAGCACTGCCCTTGATTTCAGGACTGGTGTAACATTGAATCATGATTAAGGCCAACAGGAAGACATTGTGCTTGAGAAGAATGTTGGGTGTTGGACAATATGCAATCCTGTAGCCCCTTACAATCTTGTAGGCATGGAAGCCTTGCATATATAGTGCACAGGTAAAGCTGAATCAAAGCTGTACTGACTAATGTCCAAAGAAACGGACCATAGGGCCCTTTCCTTCCTGAAGACTTTGATATCTAAAGCTTCAATATTTCATTTAAATCAAATACCGTAGTTTTCTCAGATCTGAAAGACTAAGAAGTTTTATTTGGTGACTGTTAAGACTCATTTGAAGGTTATTTGGGGTGACAAGTATGTTCAAGTATAGGTAAACTGATTAACTCATATAAGTAGGGAACTATAATCAAATCCAGTATGATAGAAGGATATTGCATACAGTTTCAATGAGTTTAATGGCAGTTATCAAAGGAGTCATAGGAAATGGGATTGCAAAATTTACATGTAGAGTAAATTGTCCAGACAATTGTGATAAAATCAACATTTGGGTAGCAATACAAACAAATATGTATGGATGAGCTTATTAATATATATAATGACAAGCCCATGTCCTTGTTTGAGCCAAGTGAGGGTAGCATTGAATGAACCTTTTAACATATTCTTGTATGGAGGTTTTCTTGTTCAACCATTCCTCTTTGAAATCTGCCTTTGAAGAAGCTTTTTCGTTCAGGCTACCTTGAGGTCACAGATAAAATGGCCAGAGAGACAGAAGTGTTTCCCTACTGATTTTGGATAATGTTTTTAATTTCAGATTTGTTTCTGATAGCAGGGTCTTATATTAATTTTTGCTATAAACAAAGCAGTAGGGCTTATTTTCAGGGGATGTTTTTTTCATGTTCAGCTATGTTTATTCAAATACAGTCATGTCATCTTCTGGTTGCTGCACAATGGTGGAGGGCAGGGTTTCACTTAACTGGGGCTTATTTTTGGGGTAGGGCTCATATTACAAGCATCCTGAAAATTCATACTAGGGCTTATTTTCAGGTTAGGTCTTATTTTCAGGGAAACAGGGTACCTTATGCATCCAAAGAAGTGGGCAACAATCCACAAAGGTTTATGTCACATAAAACGTGTTACTCTTTAGAGTGCTCCAAGATTCTAGTTTTTGCTGCAGCAGAAAAATATGTCTCCTCCCCTCAAAAGAAAAATCATTCATCCATTCACTTTGGAAGGAATGCTGATGAATTCATTGAGCTGCTTTTCCTTAGCAGAGAGGCATAAGATTATACTGCTAGTCTGCATTTGCAGTTACTCTGTTTTCTTTTAAGAGTAATTTTACGTATATTAACTCAACCAGTGTGTTGTTGTAAACTGTGTGTGTTCATGTTAGGCCAATCCAATCATCATCATAACCTTTATTGTCATAAAACATACAGCAAGCTGGGGTCCTCAGATAGATGGAGGGTATATCCCCTGCATGAAGCAGATCAAAAAGCTTCAATGCGGGCAGAATAAAGCATTGCATAGTTTCAAGGTATACAGTAGTTGTAGACCACTGCATCATGTAGATTAGGAATGCTTAATGCAAAGCTTAAATCAATAAAAAGGCTGTGGAGAGTAATAGAGCCATGACCAGATTACATTGGGAGAGTGATTCAACTATGCCTGGGGGATGGTCTCTCTGATTTGAATCGTGGTATGTAAAAAGCGAGCGACATAGGTAGTGACATGGTTAATATTCCCCTGGACTAAAAAGCAAACCTTGGCCTTATCGGAGCGTCCTTGAAAACTGGAGAGCAATGGTTCTAGAAATCTTGCACGCAAGCTGTTGTAGAAAGGGCAGTCCAAGAGAACATGAGAATCTGTTTCGATGGCATCTTGACCACAGGGGCATCGTCTGAGGTTAAGTGGGACTCTATGGTATCTACCAAGTAGAATAGCCGACGGTAGTACGTTGAATCTTGCCAGCATAAATGCTCTTCTGTAGTGGTCGTCAGTTAGAAAGGAGAAATAGGGAGCTAAGAGCCCTGGCTTCAGGGGTATGTTAGGCAAAAATACATATTGACTATAGCTTCCATACTATATTCCTCTTCTGTCAGGCAAACTGAAGTTGTGCCACTGCTTTGAAACACTTGCTGCAAAAGGAATGTTCTCAAGTGTAATCTCTTGCCTTCCCTGGTTATTCTTCATAGGCTACATGTACATGTCATTGCATCTTTCCATCAAAGAGTCTTCATTCCTAGCATAGCCATTCAGCATATCACAGTACCTGTTTAATAATTTATCACAAGGTGTTATATATGAAGTTTGAATTATTAGCTCATATTTCAGTGGTTGTACTCTCACTCTTAAATTACAGGTTAGAAAGACTAATACTTTCAAACAATGGAATTTCTTCTATACATTTCCCTGATGTGGAATTTGGTATGTAAATAGAATATGGCTATATTATTCTGCATTTTAATTCTTCTCTGTTGAATCGTCAGCTTATTCTCCTTTTTTGCAGGTTGCAAGGCTACAGTGTTTCCTTCTTTAACACATCTTATAGTAAATGGCAATAGAATTTCAGAAGTAAGTCAAATAGTTGTGCAATGCATTAGTTTGTGATTAGATTTTCCTTCTAGGAACAAAAACAGTGATAGTTAGAATATATTGCAGCCTTTATCCTGTTAAGATTTCCAAAATTTTAAATATTTTGAAGTATAGTGAAAAGAGTGTAGAATGTCAGGCCATTCCTTTTATAGCTGTGTTTTAATGCTATGCAATCTCTATATCAACTGCCATCAGATTTAACTTTCCAGTTTACGTTTACAGTTGGAGTAAATGGGATGTGGCCATCTAGCATGAGCATCACATTCATCTCCAAAATGATTTTCATCTTCAAAATCAAGATGTAGTAAAAGGATATATAATCTTCTTTTGTTGGAGGTGTTTTGTTTTATTTCTATTAGTAATAATCACATACATGACCTTAATGTTGTGAAATGAGCTCTTATATATTACTATGTGTTGTAATTGATGAGCAAAGATAATTACACCTTTGCTTTTTTTCATTTTTCCATTAAGCTTTTGTTATGAGGCAATAGCTAGGATCCTATTGCAAATTGGGACTTAAGCAAGAAACTGTTTAAGTTTTGCTGGCAAGTTACCACTTACTAATGGGTTGCTGGTTGTTGTTTTTTTGGGTGTACACGATCTCAGGGACACACTCAGAAACACAATCTACACCTCATTAGTGAGTAGCAAATTGTTGCCCACACTTGCACAATTTCTGTTACATGAGACTAAATTGACAATAGGATTCTAGTTGGTAATAAATCACACAATAGCATGGCAGTTAAGGAAAGCCATACAAATCAAATCACCTTTGCAGCAGAGGACGGTCCCAAATCTAGTAGACACCTCATGTTTTACCTCTGGTTCAACACAAACAGCTGTTTGGGACTTCTTTATGGAGAATTGAGATGTAGAAGGATTTTATTTATAAACTTTTTGCCATCATCATGGTTAGACTATAGACCAAGCAGTACATGCAGTGTTAAATTACTAATATAAATAATGCTAATTATTAGGTTACATTTTCATTGCACTGTTAGTTCCTTTCAGAGTCTCATGTGGAGAAAAATTTATTGTTTCACATTTTGTCTGTTCAGTATTGACAGGTCTTCCTTCCTTCTCTCCTTCCTTTCTTTTTCGTTTCAGTGGTCAGTTATCAATGAACTGGATAAATTACCAAAGCTTCAATCATTGGATTGTCGGAATAATCCTTTAATGGATACAGACAAAAATATAGAGACTGTAAAACAGCTGCTTATTGCCAAAATAGGCCAGTTAAAGTTTTTGAACAAGTCTCAGGTATGAGTTTTAATTTTAATTAGGAATACCAGGAAGACATGAGCACTTACGTTGTCTGATAATTTTAGATATATTCCCAAGTTGTTCTATAAATTAATTAGTTTTCTTCAACTCTAAACATTTGATCCCAGAAATGGGATCAAATGTTTTTTATGCCAAGCTAGCAGAAGATATACAGTGGTGCCCCGCTTGATGACGATAATACATTCCAGCAAAATCGCTGGTAAGTGAAATCGTCGTCAAGCAAAAAAAATCATTGAAATGCATTGAAAACCGGTCAATGTGTTCCAGTGGGGGAAATACCTGATCGTGCAGCGAAGATCCTCCATAGGGCAGCCATTTTCCGCTCCCTGTCTTGTGAAATGAGGTCAGCAAAACAGCGGGGAGCCATTTTGAGAGCAGCTCAAAATGGTTGTTAAGCGAAAAATCGGTTCCCAAAGCAGGGAACCGGTCATCGTGAAGTGAAAAAAACCCATACAAACATTATAGCGATGGCAAAATACTCATCGTCAAGTGATTTCATTATCTAATGGGGTAATCGTCAAGTGGGGCACCACTGTACTTGTAAACCTGAAGAAATAGATAGCAAGATACAGTGGGGGGGGGAGCCAAGACTATAAAGGAAGGAAGACATAGAACTGAAATGGAAATAAGTGTAAAGTTGTATTTTTTGCTTATTTGAAATGCTTTGGTAATGAGCTATTCCCAGTTGCTTAGATGAAGAACCACAGCAGTCATCATGGTCTAGGTTACAAAAAGTACTATGAATGGTCTTCTGATTAAATACATTTTTAAAAAAAATCTAAAATAGATTTGGTTGTTCTGATGATATAGCATACATGCTTGTTTTGTCACAGATCTTTCCTGAAGAAAGGAAGGGAGCAGAACTTGACTATAGAAAAAAATATGGAGTTGATTGGTTAAAGGCTGGTGGTAATCAAGATCCAAACAAAAACAATCCAAATGAGGAATTTATTGCTGCACATCCTAGATTCCAATTACTCTGCGAAAGTACGTAGAATACAAATAGAAATATTAGTTTTTCAATTCTGACATTTTGGGTTTCTAGCTATTTGCCTACTCCTTAGTAATCTTTTCACAGATTACTAAGAGACAATCAAAGACATATCTCCAAGGTCTTTGTCAGTTTCAGAAAGTGTATGTATCACCCTGGATGCTTTTACTACCTTGCCCCCCCCCCCACTTCTCTTGTTGCTGTTCTTGTGTGCCATCAAGTCATATCCAACCTGTGGTTACCCTAATAGAGTGTTCATAGTAAGGTGGATACACTTACACAGCAGTTAGAGCAGTGCCACTTTTCAGTGAGTTCCCATAGCTGAACAGGGATTTGAACCCAGGTCACTTGCATCCTAGTCCAACACTTTGTCCCTCTGGCTTAGTACGTAAGCAATGAAGTCTTTATTCTTTTCTTTTTTTAAGAAAAGATTGGGTAACCTCTGGAATGTGTGTAAGTCTCTGGCCTAGTTTTCTACCATCTTCATTTCCACAGAAAGCCTCTAAGCTTCCAGTGTCCTGCAGAATTAGGACTGTTGGCTGCTGCTTGACTTTGCTGTATGCCATCTTAGGTGCTGAAAGCACAGTAGTTTTCTAATTTGTGTACTTGTACAGTTATTCACATCTGCCACCTTCTTTGGGATTTTGATTGGGTAACCTCTGGAATGTGAGACTCAAAATTTCCTTCTCAGAGTTCAGCCCTAATAACACCACTGCTTACCTGTACATTCCCATTTGTGGAAGTGAAGGTAGTCACATCTGGGAAAATCACTTCCCCTTTCTACCAGAATACAAGGGGGTTAAGTCTGCTTCCCTGGAAACACATCCAACACAATACCATTTGGCACAGAACACTCAGGAGAATATATTACGGGCACATTATTAGACATTTTAGAGACATGCCATTCTAGGAGCTGGACAATTCTAATTTCTTTGATTTCATAAAGGATGTTAAGGGAGTGTGCGTCTGTGACTTTATCTTGTCTCTCGCAGAGTAAAGAGCAGATAAACGCACACAACAGCTTCTTCTTTTCAGCAGTGTATTTACAAAATATATACAGGATATACATACATACAGCACTTCAGTATTCAGTATTCAAACCGGCAGCATGACATGCAGACATCAGTACACAGGAGAAGAGAATGACTGTACAGAGTTCATTTCTTAAATACAGTTCTGGCATCAGTCTGGTCCAATCCCGTCTAAGGTGACTTCATGCACACAGGTGTGGCAATCTTCATATTGCAGAGAAATTGCATCAGCCAGGGATGAAGGAATGACGTCATCTTAATCTTGTTCTGCACACACACATATTATGTTCAGGCTATATAAAAATTATATACCTTAACAAAGGAGTTGCTTGGTTTAGAAAACCGGGCAGGTGATATGTTTCCCTCTGGCATTACCCTGAAATGGGAATTTGCAGATGAGGGGGGGGTGGAATCTCTTTGTTCTCAGGTGGCAAGAGAAATTGATAGTAAAATTTGGACAAGCTTGAGTGAGCACCATTCCAAAATGTCCAGAAAATATAGACACCACCCTGCCACACCCCTCCTGTCAAATGTTGCTTTGGCCAAACAAAAGTCATTGATACTTATGAAGGTTGTTGCAGGTATACACACTGCCCTACATGGATCCTCTTAAATGGGAAACTGTATTTCCAGAATGTCAGTGTCCAATGAGGAGCAACATGCTCTAAGCTCTAGCAACCTAATATCATGCTCTGACAAAGCCTTAGAAAAAGGTGGATTGGTGAGCTCTGCCTTCTCTGAGAGTGAGATTGAATAAAAACTATTTGTCTCTTTCAGCTTCCCAGTAAAGTGGATTAAGGTAGAAAATGAAGAACACCTGCAGAGCCCACATACTGAATCAGTTAACATATTTTTTTGTTATCTCTCCCTAACAGAATATGGTTTTCCTGAAGATGGGGAGCTGAAAAAAGAACAGCCTTTCTCCTTAAAAAATCAGCTGCTGAGTAAGATGTAAAATCGTGTTTATTTTTTTAATTGTTTATTTATATGCCACCTTTCTCCCCATAGGAGACCCAAGGTGGCTCACAATAGTAAAGTTATAAAATAATGACAAGGTTACAAATAACATACAAAACTATATAACAAACAATGAAATATTAATCAGGATATATGATAAATTTGTAAATCATTAATAACATTCACTGGGTACTTTTGATAGAGGGTATTCACCCTAATGACTACCCTGTTACCTTTGGTATTCAAGCCAACTTGCCTTTGCTTGTTGGTCACTGGGGATTAAACTGGGAGGACACACCGCACTTTGGGGTTAATGGTTCCCAGCCTTGGGTAACAGAGGTGTTCTTGGGCTGCAATTCTCAGAAGCCTTTACCACCAGCTATGCTGGCCAAGGGTTCTGGGAATTGCTATAGAAGAACACCTGGGTTATCCAAGGTTGGGAAACACTGACACAGGCCATGGATGTGAAAGAAACCAAGGAAAAGAGGGAGATACTTTAAAACCATACTTTCTGATCTAACAACAAATAAATTTTCTTGGTGAATGATGTTGGGTAGGGTGCTGAAGTTCTCATGAGTTAGTTATTTTACACTGTTGCAGTATTTAGGTTTCTTGAGTAACAAACAGTAGGAATAAAGAATATTAAGCATTCATGTGAATGGATTTTTTAAAAAATTTCAGCAACTGCTCATAATAATAAAAATAGGAAAATGTCTAGTGGCACCTGAAAAACTTAGCAATTTTATATGCTTCTTAGTTTTTGATAAATCATATCCCACTTCATGTGCATGAAGTGTAGCCTCTGGAAAGAGATACATTTAGAGCATCAGGAGGTGTGGAATATGAAATGTAAGAAATAAAAAATGTACAAGCAGCAGGATGGTCTTAACAGTGCTTCCTAAGGGTCCTTGGGTGTGACAGGTACATCTCAGTACTGTACAGGTAGATGCACAACTGGGGGGGGGGAGGGATTGGAGAAGTTGGTAATTTCATTCTGTATCAACTGTGTATATGTTCTCCTCAACTTCATTTGCATTCTCAGATGAAGGCATTCCTTCACAGAAAAAATCCTAGTGTGGGAATTCACATACAGTTATGCTGTTTGGAAAGGTTTCTAACTTTGCTTAGCCATCATTAATATTCGTGGTCCCAGTGGGATTTTTAAAACATTCCCCACTGAAAAAATCTGGGATTGTTTTTCAGCATCAGGGCTTGAGCGATGGAAGTACTTCTGTTTTTGCCTGTGTCTGTTGTGGCTAATGGATACTGAGGGTTTTGCATTGCATCAACTTTTCACTTTTAAAATTTTTCTTAAGAGTTGACCTTTAAGTGCCCTGACAAACCTGACCAGAAGCCCATAGAGAAGAAACTGCCAGGTAAGAGCAAGGATCAGCATTATTTTGTTTCCGTATGTCATATTTGAGTTCCCTGGCTCTTGTGTGAAGCATCCAAGAGTGTTGTAAAGACTGTTTTAAAGTAGAACAGTGAATTAGCAAGTACTGAGCACTCTGAAGTAGCATGCCCTTTCAGAGGAAGAACATGAAATAATGCTACATGGAAACTCTTTACAACAAAAACACATTGATCATGGATTTACATATGTTTAACATTTTCTGTACTCTTCTCTGTAATTAGTGGTGAAATCCTTTGTACATAAATAATCATTTGAAGAGTTTGCAAATATTAATCTCTTCTTGCTGTGCTGAGATCTTGCTTAAGGCCTAATTCTCACTGAGTTGCTAAATCTGTGCTGAGTTACACCACACCATGATGTGTTTAAAGTCTTCCATTTAAAAATCCTTGAATCAGAAACATAGAATAGATACATACGGATTCATGCAAGAATTCCAGTTTCCTTTAGATGTTCTGAAGAACTAAGACTCTGTCAACTGATAGAGACAGGCAAGCCTGAATTATTCCTACAACAATCTCTAGTTCTCCCAATAGAGGCATTACCTTTTGAGCTGTGGAGCACATGCAGATTCTTACATATAACATCCAAATGCAAGTGATGGAAATGGACCCGTGGTGTTCTTCGTAAAAATGCTTCATGTTGCATTCATTTATTCTGTGAATTCAAATTCTTTATGGTGTAAAGCAATGTTCCTTGCTTCTTCACTGTTTATATTATTACGCTGTATAAATAATATATCCTTAAGACATTTGAGTAAAATTTGAAAAGCATTTATTCTAAAATAAAAATCACATTTATCACAAGTTGCATAAAATGATACAGCTTTTTCCAAAAGTTAATAGAAAAATATTTTTCTAAATACATCTTATGACAATAGAGGAGTATCTCACTATTGCTGTGCCTTCAGATAAAGCCTTAAATGAAACAGAGGAGATCATCCAGAATAGCCCGTTATGCATTATTCAAATTCAGAATTTTTAACCAATTTACTCCCATCAAATACAAAAATATACCTTCATGTTCATATGTATTGGTTCATAATGCAAGTGCATAAAGCTAGTGTTAATCTTGAACTAATTAGCATATATTGGTTTTAGGACCTCCTGATATGAAATCCCAGTATGACATTCATTTTCTGTAGAGGGGCTGGCATCACTCCTAGTGACAAAGTATAAAAGAGCAAACGCCATAGACTAAGTCCTGAAGGTCACTTAGGGCAGTCAGTGTGTTGTATATATAACTTGGAATTCTTCAATCTGGTTTATAGGGTTTTGTTTTGTATTACTGCTTTCATGTCAGACTGCAGTGCTACTAGGAATTGCTTCCTCAGTGCTGCAATAGATCATCTTGCAGAAATCTATTTCAGTATTAGTGTTTGCTAGAACATAAGATACTGCCGTATAAAGGCATTAAAGGGTTACCTATCTGAAGAATTTTCTTTTTCTTGTACAGATTCTATGACTGTTCAGAAGGTCAAAGGATTGCTGTATCGGCTACTTAAAATCCCGGGTTCAGACCTAAAATTATCCTATGAAAGTTCTAAAGTAAGCTCAAGCTTAATAACGTAACAACACATGAGTTCAGATGTAATTAAGAGTAACAGAACTTGTTACACTAACATTATCCAAATGAATTGATTCCTTTAAGGAAGAGATTGTGGACCACAATTCTGGCTTTTCCCCCAGCTTCCTTTGAGTAGTGGGCCCAAAATCATAATCTGTACTCTTTTAACAGATATGTACAAGATCGAAGAATTTGAGTCTGATGTCTGTCTCAATCTTTTCTTATCCTAGATGAAAGGCAAAGAATTTGAATTGGACAATGACCTAAAGCCCTTGCAGTTTTACTCTATTGAAAATGATGACTGCATTCTAGTACGATGGTAACTGCAGCCTTCAATGCATCTCTTGGAGAATAGCTGTATGTTGCTAGCAGAATGTCTACAATTAGTGTATACTGATTTTTAAAGATTATTTGGAAGAACTATGATATCTTAAAAGATGGAAACATATTTGCTAGATAACTATACTATCCTGCACTTTGTGTTAATAAATGGTGTCTTAAAAACAGTACCATGCCTCATTTTTGAGAAAGAAAAGTTTCAACCAACCTAAGGAAAGGAAGTTTAAGCCAGACTTTGTGCTATACCTTGAACTGACAGAAGTCAAGGAGACTTCAACAAACCTCTCTCACTATACAGATAATCACAATTCAATGATTGAAAGCTAAGGTACCATTACCACCTTTTCTAGTGCCCACCTAAGGTAAAAAGACTTAAATGTTGTGAATGCCTACTGATCCATCGAAGGCCAGACCTTCACCCTTAGCCTTCCCCCCTTGGTTCAAGCCACAAAGGGAGTAGAACTACTGCAATGTTTATAATTCATTACTTGATTGTGTCCCTGGATGCAAGTGCTGGTGTACTGTCTGCACCTCCAAGCTGCATTTTGAACACAGACGACTGAAATGAAGCAACTGATAGTACCATAGTACTGACTGCACATGACTCAACTGCCATCAGTGTGAAATCTACCTCAGTTAACTAGTCTTGGCAGCATGGTATAATTATACAGTTCTAACAGTGATATATCTGCCTTCCTAGGCATAATTTCAAGTCCGTATTTTTCCCCCACACCCTAACTGCATGAGGGGCTAAATTTATCTACTTCTATAATTTACACATAAATGAAATTGTATCATATTCATATTTGGCTTTGTCAAATTACTGCAGAAAATACGCCTTTACTAAAAAAAATGGGGGGGAGAGATGTGCAAACACTGCTCTAAGGGCCACTTCACACCAGACAAATTACTAAAATGAAGCACTTTTGTGAAGAACATTTGACTCCCATGTCTAGCTTGCTAGCCGTAGTGAATGTATCTTTCTCACTGGAGATAAGCAGTGGGAGAGGAGCAGACACAACCATCAGTGAGACATGGATGCATTTGTCACAAGTGACAAACTACATGGGATACGTATGGAATTTCTTCTTTGAGAAGTAGTTTTGAGGCTTTCCATCCATTCTTTCTCAAATGCATAACAGAAAACTCCTCCACTTTTCCCATAGTGTTTGGTCACTGTTCAGATGAAGGTATAGTTGGTTTTGTCAAGCCTTCATCTTTCTTCACATTTACAGGGGTCTCCACAATGTTCCTTTATTTGCCAGAGCTCTGTAAGTTCTTCTGGAGAATACTGAGGAGAAGACAGCATACCACTCTCACAGGTCTTCTCACACAACCAGAGACTGTCCTGTTTGAGAGAATTATGTCAAGAGCTCTTTAGGAGGAAGCAAAATGTTGTAAATGTTAACAAAGCCACCGTCATTTCAAAAGCAATTTCAGTAGGCATTGTTTAGACAGGTGCTCTATCCAGATGACAGAGTAGACTGATACCTTCACTGGCACCTATATTAAATGTTATCCCTCCTGACAGATCTAGACCTAGGTTAGAGCAGAGTAACAAATACTGCAAATGCTGGTTTGAGGTAAGTGAAGTGTTAAAAGAATGCCAGAGCAGGTTGGAGTTAGAAAGTATATTACAGTGGTGCCTCGACTTACGACCATAATCTGTTCCAGAAGATGAACATAACTCGAAATGATCGTAAGTCGACGCATCATTTCCCACTGAAATGCACTGAAACCCCATTAATATGTTCCACCCCCCGCAAAAAATACCAAAAAAACAACAACACTGCAAGCCCCCATAGGAACACGCTGGGACCGAAAAACAAACACACCGAAAAATAAAATAAACATAGCCAGCCCCAGCGGAATGCCATGGGGAATGCATCATTTCCCACTGAAATGCACCAAAACCCCATTAATACGTTCCACCCCCCGCAAAAAATACCAAAACAACAACAACACTGCAAGCCCCCATAGGAACACGCTGGGACCGAAAAACAAACACACCGAAAAATAAAATAAACATAGCCAGCCCCAGCGGAATGCCATGGGGCTGGGGAAAAAACCACACACACCCCCACAGCCAGCCCGAACGCAATGGGGCTGGGGGAAAAAGGACCAAAACACAAAAGACATCACAGCACAGAAACATAACTCCCCCCGCAGCCCAAACCCACCTGCAAAACCCTGTAAATGTACTTAATCAGGAGCAGAAAGCAGCACCAGGCAGTCCCAAGTCTCCTCCGACACACACATTCTAACCGTTGGGGCGAAAGAGCTACAAAGCTATTCTCCAACCAATGGTTAGCCCTCTAATTTGAATTCCCCGCCTTTTTTCCATGCCTTTTTGGATTGCAACTCAAAGTTCCAGCTGCAAGTTGAAGCAAAATTTTGCAGCCGGAGCTGGTCACAACTCGAAATGGTTGTATGTCAAGACGGTCGTAAGTTGAGGCACCACTGTACTTAACACTGATTTTTCACTACTCTTTTAAACAATGTGTAATGAGCAAGGCAAAACTAAAAAAAGTACAAACCATTTCTTACAGTGTGTGTAAAATGTTAGTGGTTCCTAAACTTTCAGCATCACATCATCCTTCTGATTTCAGTAAACACTGTCCACTTCTCACTTGATATCATCCATCTCCCTTATTACCAATGTATTACGTGCTGTTTTAATTTAAAACCTGAGGATTTGTTTCTTGATTGCTTAAGCGTCAGCCACTGAGTTACATTCCACCTCCTGAGTAGAGATCATAGCTAAGACATTTGGCAGCTGCTAATTGCACCTGAAATTGTCAAAGTCCTGGAACGCTGGATTTGCTAACCTTACAGAAAACTTAGAAAATGCATGTAGCAAGGCTTACACACAACTGCAGTAGTACTTAGATGCACGCCTACATATTCAAATCAAACTCCTTGAACCACAAAAATCTATTTCATTTCAGGCTGGAAATAAATAAAAGGCATATTCCTCCTCCTTCCCTACATTAGATCAGGCTGCTGGATTATAATGTTAAAGACTCTGCTTTCTTTCTTTACTCATAGCAGAACATTGCACAATTTAAAATTATTAAAATTAGGTTATTTTTGACCAGAAGCAGGCTACTTCAATAGCATTATCTCAGCTGTTTACTAGATTTTCTTTTGTACATGTGCACTAAATGCTGCACTGACTGTATTTCTTGCATTCACAGAAATTTTGTCTTCCATCTAAGTAGCCACATTTTACTTGATTACTCCTTGATCCTTCTATTTTGCTTTGAAGTCCATTAAGTGACTTCCCAATGGTCCAACTAGAGTCTTGTCCAGGGGAGAGACACTCTTCAGCATTCATCCATTTGGCAAGGTGTGTAGTTTGACCTAGCCCCTTCTGGTTTAATATTTAAAGCTGGAGATGTGTACAGAAAACTTTCCCTTGAAAGTTGTTGGAGATTTGATGTCCATAAAGTGAAGGGGCTTGGTGCTGTTTTACCTTATTTTGTTCATTATTTGCTAGCACCTCTCAGTATACTTCTGAAGAGGCAATGCTAGCTAAATAATACTTTTTCAGTGGGGGTAGGTTTCAGGTAGCAAGTACCCTGTTTCCCCTAAAATAAGACCTAACCTAAAAATAAGCCCTAGTATGATTTTTCAGGATGCTCGTAATATAAGCCATACCCCCCAAATAATCCCCAGTTAAGTGAAATCCCGCCCTTTATCATTTTTCAGCATTGTGCAGCAACCAGAAGAAGATGACTGTATATGAATAAACATAGATTGTTGTACATGAAAAAAATATAAAGCATCCCCTGAAAATAAGGCCTAATGCATTTTTGGAGCAAAAATTAATGTAAGACCCTGTCTTATTTTCGGGGAAACAGGGTAATAATCCTGCATGATTCTTTAAGAGATACATCCACTTGTTTGGCATGTGATAATTTATACCATATGGTGCTAGCATATTTTGCTGTGGAGTAGCATGGGGACAAAACTGTTGTTATTGTTTGTGGGTGTGCACCCCAGTCCTGGACCATAAAGAAGGCTGACTGCTGAAGAATTGATGCTTTTGAATGGTGGTGCTGGAGGAGACTCTTTGAGAGTCCCCTGGACTGCAAAGAGAACAAACCTATCCATTTTGAAGAAAATCAACCCTGAGTGCTCACTGGAAGGACAGATCCTGAAGCTGAGGCTCCAATATTTTTGCCATCTCATGAAAAGAGAAGACTCCCTGGAAAAGGGAGACCTTGAATGTTGGGAAAATGTGAAGGCAGGAGGAGAAGGGGACGACAAAGGACGAGATGGTTGGACAGTGTCATCAAAACTACCAACATGAATTTGACCCAGCTCCAGGAGGCAGTAGAAGACAAGAGGGCCTGGCATGCTCTCATCCATGGAGTCACGAAGAGTCGGACACGACTTAACGTCTAAACAACAAACAACAACCCCAGTCCAACCTGGCCAGTTTCCTAAGTATGTTATTTCTGGCAGCAACTTTCTGTTTGGTGTTTGGTATTGTTACGTTCCATTAAGTTTGCGTCTGACTTATGCTAACCCTACAAGGGAGCAAACTCCAAAATGTCCTGTCCTCAAGTGTCCTGCTCAGCTCTTGTAAGATCTACCCTGTGGCTTCCTCTAGGGAGTCAGTCTTGCTTGGTGTTTAGACAAGGTTTTTTGTAGGTCATGGTTTGAGCCATAGTGACAAACTGCGTTCCTAGCTAATTCGGAGCTTCCTCTCTGCTTCTCTGTTATTTAAGTGGAAGACCTGTCTTTTTAAAGGATTTGGTTTCAGCTGGTTGTTGCTCTCTGCTTCTCTTTTGTTTAAGTGGAAGACCTGTCTTTTTAAAGGGTTTGGTTTCAGCTGGTTCTTTTTATTCTATAAGGAAAGGTCTTCTAAGGCAAATGTTAACTGTTGCTCGATCAAGGTAAGATCTCTAGCATGAATGAAACTCCTGGAGTATGAGAATGTCAGCCTATCATTTGGGTAAATGTTAAAAAGTAATGGTGCCAGATCACTACTCTGTGGGAGACCGTTCTTTTGATTTTTTTCAGCAACTGTGCCTCTCTTGAAATTCAACTAAAATCTTTGGTTTTGAAATAGAATGCCAACCATTTCTGTCAGTCTATGATCTTTAGTACTGAGGTAGAGGTTTTTGAGGGGCAATTGATGATGGACAATGTCATATGCTGCCGTAAGGATGAAAAATGCTATATGCTGGGTTAGCTTTAAGATAAAACCTATACAGCTCTTGCCAGGTCATAAAGCCTGCTTGTTCTGGAATTAGAAGTTTCCATTTTAGGAGCTAGATTAGAGATGAGGGTATTCGTATTCGTATACAAATGCCCCCACATGGGTAGACATAATGAGGGTCCAGCCACTGATCCACTGCGGGCATGGGCGCCACAGAGCCTTCCAATAGCTCCGGAGATCGTGTTCAGTGAGCCACTCTTCGACCTAGCAGAGGGGCTTGTCGTTCCGCCTCCTGCCAGGAATGGCGAGCTGAGGGGCTTCTCCGGAGCCACTGGAAGGCTCCGCGGCACCTGCACCTTCAGTGAATCGGTGAGTGGACCATCCAGCCCCATGGGGCTGGACCCTCGTTATGTCTACCTGTGGGGGGTATTTGTATATGAATATCCCCATCTCCAGGCTAGATGATTTAATATCATTCATTGAAACACTTTATATAAATCAAATAGTAGAGAGATTGTCCTGTAGTTTTTGAGATTTGATGGTTCTTTGCCCAGTTTCAGTATAATGATTATGTTTTCTGGCATATTTTAAAAATTTGTTTACCTATCCAACAGTTATTACAGAGTTGAAGGAGCCATTCCTTTGTGTTTTGCCCAAAAAGTTTGATTTGCTCTATCTAAATATCATAAAGTCCCATCACTTTTCAATCTCTACATCTTCTTATGGCTTCCTCTGGTTCTGCCAGTATGAAGGCAATAGGGAGTTCATTTGATTCACTCTGAATATCCTTTTGATTTTTGTGTAGATTGGTCATTCCTGACAGGAGCAGTTGGTATGCTATTTGGTTTAGGGTTATATTTGCACACAGTGTCCTTTCATTTGGATTGTTGTTCGTAGTCTCCAAGCTTTCTAGCTGCTTCATGCCATGTCAAGCTCTCTTATAAAATGTTTATTCTGCAAGTTCTTTTTTTGTTTCTGCAAAAATCAAGATCATATTTCTCCCAACTTTTACTGTATGTTCACAAAAAGGATTTCTTTGGAGTGTGAAATATAATCTAAGTGTTGGCCATGTGTGTCTAGAGTTAGATCTGGGATACAGTTGGTCCGGCATCCTCTTGGAATACTGAGTAATCTCTAACTGGATAACCATGAAGAAGGTTGTCATAAGTCAGAACTGACTTGATGGCACATGATTATTTGACTACAACACAACTTACCTGATACCGTTTTGGCCCAATGGCTGCCATCCAAATACCCATACTCACATCTTCACCCTAAGTGCAAAATTTAAGTAGAAACAAAAACAAAATAGATTTCTCTCAAATTTTGGCTGTCAAGTTCATGTGCTTTGTGCAGAATATTTGTGCTATGTACGAATCAATCAATCTTGTACTGCATTTCTATATAGATGTCAACTGCTGGAAGTCTAGCTGGAGAATTCAAACACCTCCATGCGATCCCCATGTTAACAGTAACACTATGGAGCTTCTGTTGCAATCTGAAATTCCATGTGCATTCCTACAGATGAATGAACCATCCTTTTAGATGGATAAATGTTCTCTCATTTCAAATATTGGATCCAACTTTTCTGAACACTTAAGAATTATTGCTTGTACCAACTTTAGGACTACTGTAAGACTACGCCCTATCCGCAGGATCGGTATCCATAGATTCACTTATCTGCTACCCAAAGATATTAAATAATAACAATAAAAACGTAAAAACAAATTGGCCCCTCCTTGTACACATTTAAGAGACAATTTAAATCACTACTCTTCAGGAAGGCTTTTCAATCTGACCCACGATGAACACCCCCCATTTGGTCCGTTTAATTGTGAAAATCTGTTGGTGCCATTGTTTTTTACGCTTATGTTCTGCTACCGCAATTTGTGTTACAATTTAGTGTCCACTTTTTTTTGTTTTTAATTGCCTGTAAACCACCCAGAATAGTGCCTCAGCACTAATGGGGTGGTATATAAATTAAGTAAGTAAATAAGTAAATACATTGATTGATTGATAAATAAGTAAGTAAGTAAGTAAGTAAGTAAGAGTAAGTAAGTAAGTAAGTAAGTAAGTAAATAAATAAATAAATAAATAAATAAATAAATAAATACCTTTTCCATGATGTAGTTACCAGAACTAGCCACTAGTGGGAACCAGAGTATGTAAGGAACTGATCCCTAAGGATACTGTGGTCCTACTGTATATTTATCTCTATTTCAAATTCACAGTGACATAAAGAAGTTCCTAGACTAAGCCACCTGTCTCCAAGTAAAACTCAACTTCAATACTAGACTATAAGATTGCATCTTGGATTACAAGTGCCTGCAGCTCTCTTGCCGCTGCCCATCTCCACTCCTCCTTTCAAAATACTTGCCTGATATATCTTTAGTCTGTCTGAGTTGCTTGCCAGCCACTCCACAATGTCTTTGGAAATAACATAACCAGACCCACAAGCAAATGCTGGATACGCAGGACTTGGATATTCCAATTCTTGCCACTTGCCAGTTCGGTCGACTGCCCAGTTTAGTCTGAAACTTAAGACCAGAACCATCATATCCTTTTAACAATCTATTAATAAATAATTTTCTTTTCAAGTTTTTACTAATTAATCAATTAATTAGTACCTCTACTTCTAACTATTAATTAATTAATTTAAAAAGACAAAACAAATAATTGCTAAAATAGTGATACAATAGGTCTAAACACAGAATTATAATATTGCAAAAGCAAAGGATCAGAACAGTCCCAAGGAAACGGGTCTCCCTGCGAGTGTGCCATCCTCTTTCCCCCAAAAAGTAGAGGAATATGAAACCACCAGCTTGCCAATAGAAATGAGTATAGAAATACCGGGGATAGAATCCCTGCCCAGAGATGACAGCCTGGGCTCTATGGAAAGCTCAGGAAGAGTCACCTTTCAAACCTGACAACCTGGCTCCTGTTTTTTTGTTTTTTTTAAAAAAGACCAACCAGTGTGGGAGGAGGAGCTTGAAGGTAAAAGGTAAAGGAGCAGGAAAGGAGAGGAAAGGGGGATCGAGAAAGAAAGTATGAGGGAAGTAGGAAGTTGTCCCATCAAAGAAAGAGAGAAGCAGGAGGGGAAGGAAAGCGGAAGATGGAACCCCTCAGAGTCACCTAAGGGATGGGAGTGGGACACTACAGGAGACCCATATCTGGGGGAACTGGAGAAGCTGACAGGTCCAGGAGAGGAGGTGGAGAGACAGAGAAGGCACCAACCCTTCTGTAAGTCCTCTTTTTGGAGAGAAAGAGAAAGACAGGCACAGAAACAGTTAGGGGGATGGTGACAGACATCAAGAATAGTGTTATAATGGGAATAACTGCCTCACCTGGAGGCAAAGAGGAGGGACTAGGAGGAACCGAGGGGGATTGAAAGAGCAGAGAAGGAGTGAGAGGAGGAGACTGGGGGACACTGGGCTTGTCTCACATGTTGTGAAAGTTTGTGTTCAGCACCACATCGCCCCTTTTGCCTTCCTACATACAAGCAGAGATTTGGGGTTATTCCCTGCCCTAGAAATAGCTTTCTTGAATGCTCAAGGGAACAGTCACCTGCAACAACCTTCATTTAGAAGGGGAAATGGAACCCTTCAAAGTTGTAATGGGCAGGTTGCCTTTTAAGTTGAATAAAGTTTTTGAATTTAAAACAGAACTGTTGCCGTGTGTGGGTCTGGAATTGTGGGAGGCTTCTGACAGGAAGAGAGAACCCATTCACACAAAGAAAAAAAATGAAAACAAGTCATTGGAAATTTTAGATACAGCATTAGAAGGTACTGAGGAACAGGGAAAGCTGAATGTCTCTTAGAAAATGGTCTCAGTAGTGGAATTCCGACAAGTAAAAAAAATGAAGGCATAAGGAATCCCAGTTTATTCTGTTCCTTTATCCAGAGTTCTCTTTGCCTCTCGTACTCCTGAAACGCCCTTTCCTTTTACCTCTTAAAAATATCAGAAAGAGTTGTGCAAACCAACAGAAACAAAGCTTAGAAATACCTACACTTCCCCAAAGAAACACATACAGTTTCCTTGGTAGAAATTCATATCTTTTGCTAGCTAGAATTAGGAAAGGCGTTATGGTAAAATGGAAAATACTACAAGAGTAATACGAGTCATGAAAATGTCATAGAAACAAGTCATCACACATTGCCTAAAGAGGTAAAACTATTTAAAACTTTAAAAAAATCTAAAGATGAGAAATTAATAAAATCTTTTTACTGAATCATGCAAACAGTTCTTGGAGAGCAGACATTTTCATGATTGATTTTGCAGTTTAACTGAATATTAAATAAACTTCATCTCATAATTAGCCTAGTGGGAAACTTATTATTCATACAATTTCATAACATCTTTGGTTCTGTAAATAAATCTATAGAAAACAGTGACTTAGTTACTTAAGCTAGAAAACAGCATATTCATACAAGACTCTCCCCAAGTATACTATTTCTGTGATCAAAGAGTTGCAAGATTTGCTCACTTGTACTCTACAAAAAACCCCAACCAAATAAACAAAAAGGACTGTTTATTAATAAAATTATTTTTACTTTGTCTAAAAATATCTCTGTCTTCCTTATCAAATCTTCAGCTCTAAACTGTTGGAATATAAAGAGTTATCAGTTCTACATATAGTGTGAGCATTAGGAAAACAAATTTTTTTAGACAAAGGGACACTCACTTGCCCCACCATGTATTTGGTCTGCCCAGGTTCTTCAGCTTTATTCTGTTGAACACAGCCTCCAAATCTATGTAGCAGTCATCATCAGTTTTCAGCAACACGTCAAAGCTTGCTGCTTCTACTGTCCTGTAGCCAAACAGATTATAATGACAGAGTTCTACAAAAATTGTTTTTAACATGCATTGTAGCTGCTGTAATATTTATACTGAAAAAGCCTAATGCAGGGATGATAAATGTTTTGACAGGTGGGCCTCTATAACTCTTAAAAGTTGCTTAGATGAAAGGATGTCAGCAGATTCTGGTTTCCAGCTACAAATGACATCAAGCCAATAACAGCCGAAATCCCAAGTTCAGTTTTTTACACACAAAAAAGAGACTATTTCTGAAAAGTCTCTCATCTTTCAGCCTAATGAAAAAGCTTCAATTTTTCATATTGCTTTTTTTCTGGCCCTTTGAATCCATTGTTAATTCTAATCTCTTGCAATCCATACACAGGTTCCAACTGTATTTCACTCCTCCCAACATACAAAGTGTGCATCCTCATACTAAGGAGGAGATGGAGGAATGCCTGCTGCAGAGAGACAGCTAAGCTGCTGTTTGCTCCCTTGTTTTCCACGGTGTTAGGCATGTAGTTGAACCATTGGTCTGTGCAACAAAAACTATATCGATGCCAATATCAATTGTACTAACTCTGAAAATGTACATTTCCCACTAAAACAGCTCTTGCAGAAAGAAACGCTGGATACAAGCTGATATACCCCAAAAGAAAATATATTAAATGAAGAGGCAAAGAACCAGGGTAGAAACCAAGGGTAGAAAGACTGCTCTTTAACTTACTCAGTGGACCTAGATGTGTAGTCCTGGAGTTGTATACAAGGGAACACAGAACTACTGACATTAAAAAATGGGAAAAATAGGGCTAATCATTCATTGGACAATGGAAAAGCACTTGAGATATGGGGAGAAGGAGAAGCAGGGTTGCTTGTTGATGACAACACTACAGGCAACATGTAACTGGTGTTTGTGAGCATGCAACTACTTTTGACATGGGAATCAGAAGAAGTGATAGACTTATTTGGATTAAGAACCACATTCTTAACATAATGACAATCCAGTAACAAGGCACTGATAATCGTGAACCAGAAATGGCTCATGCAAAATCCCCAACCTTCCCCAACTCAACCTACCATCGGTAGAAATTCAGTAATTTGGCTGGAACATTTCTGTAAGTATCAACTACATCAACAAAAACAATATCATTGTAAGTGCTGCTTTCTTCCTTCAATGAAACATCTTCCTCTTCAAGTTTATTGACATGATGGATGAATCTTTCTGAGCGACTCTGAAGACTTTGAACAAGTATCTCTCCTTCTGAAAGGGAGGCAGAAATAGCATTACAATGACAGTAAGCTACAGGCCTTATTCTCTATATGACATCCTTCCCCCATATGGTGCTTTCCAGATGTGCTGGAGACAGCATAACATAGCAAGAATTGGAGCATGCAAGGAACTGTAGTCCAACCCATCTAGAAAGTACAATGTTTTCACATATTCAGTATATCAACAAACATATAGCTAGATGGTTCAATAAATTATGTAATTTTAAAGGGGATAAAATTTTTTTAAAAACATCAGTACAAAATCATGCCGCAACCAAGCATATGGCCGCAACAGAGGATAGGTAAATGGAAGTCAATTCAACCAGATTTCTGAATGCACAATGTACCTCTCCCTGTTTTGTCTTGCAGAATCCATCCCTATCCCCTGAAATATGCTTTGTATAGCCCACCAACCTTCTTAAGCACATTTTGAAGGAATATGGGAGGCTACAGGGAAAGACAAGAACCACCTATTCTCCTTCCCACTGACAGAAGATTAATGGCATACAATTCTTTATCTTTGCCAGATTTTTTTAAAAAATGAATTCCTTTTATTTATTTAAAATATTTTACCTCTTGTTTCTCTTTCAAAAGGACCCAAGGTGGCTTACATAATAAAAATACAATATTTAAAAGCTAAAAACTGTTTTATTTTAAATTATGTCTGATGAAGTGGACTTGTCCACGAAAGCTCACATTAAAAAATATAAAAGTTAGTTTTTAAGGTGCCAATATGTTTTGGTATTTTTTTCACTTTTTATTTCTATTTTGCTTTTACCTAAAATTGTGGAAAAGTATCAAATACCAACACTAAACATGGTAAAACAAAATCAACACCAAAAACACATCCAAAGCAACAAAGGAAAGACTGTCTATTTCTAAGGGGGAAAAAAAAGAATTCTCAGGAATATTTAACATCCCATTGTACTGTATTTGTTAAAGATGGAAAGATGCAATCCTCTACACATTACAATGTGTGTCAGAAAAGTCAGCCTCTATGTTGAGGTTTCCTTGGTCCTTCCAAACAGACAATTTCCTAAACAGAAGCACAGCAGCAAGCTTGAAAGTATATAATGCAGTATGCAGTATTCCAGCCATGCACGACAGGGCTCAGCTATCAGCACAGCACTGAGGTTTTTGCTTTGAGCAGCTGTAACTCTCCCCCCCCCCCATTGCTGTAGTCCCAATATTTTTGGTGCAAAAATGCAGAGAACTGCACTTTTGGAAGCATCTTTTGTAAAACAAGACAGACAGCCGTATTCTACTGAAGATAGTAGGCCGAATCCTAGAGCAGACCCACTGAATCAACTGCTGAAAGGCAAGTCAACACTTATGGAAAGAAATACCACTGACTCAACAGGCCTACTAGTTAGACTCTAGTCTTGCCACTGTGTTTCCGGTTTGTGTTTAAAGACAGAAACACATTTCTGTTCCCTTCTGTTTTGCCTTGTTTTAGTCCGCTGCTGCGCTCCTCTTTATAAACAAGGCAAAAACATTTTGGCCCATGGCAGGCCCCAATATGTGATAATTGGTTTCTTCGTGTCTCTAAGTTGTGCATACATGCACTCACGGAAGCATCAGAACGGAGTCATTAAGGATTACATTTTTTGATCCTTCATTGAATTTTTATATGCTCACCTTGAATTGTGTAAATAAAACCTCCTGCAATCCCCTCCACACCTTGTGTAAATTCATGGGGCAATGACCCTTCCCCTGCCTAGATCACCAATTAGAAAGAAAGGAATTAGATTCATTTTTATTATGGCCATACATATATATCCTACAACACTAAAATGGGTTGGCTCTGGCTATTGCTGTCATCTTGTTCTCCAAAGAAGGGTGGCACATTTCCTACCGCCTTGAGAACAGCCTGTAAAACTTAACAATGACATTAAGTTACCAATTAAAGCAAGGCTGCAATAGGGTTCAGTTGTTCTGGGTACACGCTAGAGTTCATTAAGTAAATTTAATCTGTGGCCATTGCAGCTTACAAGGAGGACAGATAGTTTAACTTCAAGCAGGAAAAGATGAATTATTTTCTGTCATGAAGAAATTCATTCTCTTTGCTTCTAGTATTAAATGTAGAAAGTCTCAAGATGAGTACAGGTTACAGTATAGATAAGAGAAGGTTCTGTTTAAAAGAGACAGTTAAATCAAGGCTTAGCTATGTTTGGAAAAGACATAATGAGATCCATGAGATAATCAGTCATATCTAACTTTATTTGAATTGATGTTAGCAAGTCTATTTCAAACATTCTTTCATTTGTTCAGTCTGTCCACATTTATTCCAGGTAATGCAAGAAAAAATAGAAATGACCTTAGATGTAGTATTACTCAAGTACTACTACAGTGGTACCTTGACTTGTGAATGTCCCTAGATAAGAACGATTCAAGTTAAGAACGGCTCCATTCGCAAAAAGCTGCTTTGATTTGAGAACAGAGCCTTGACTTAAGAACCAAACCCTCCCCTTTCCTGCCCTTTTTTGACCTAAGTTCACCTTAAGTCAAAAGAAGAAAAAATAAAAACAGATTTCACCCCCTAGTGAAATACAGATACAGATCAACCAGCTTTGCATTAGTTCCTATGGGAACTAATGCTTCAACTTAAGAACAGTGCCTCAACTTAACAACGAAAAACAGCAGATACGGATTAAATGATTTTCAATGCATTCCTATGGGAAATGGTGCTTCAACTTAAGAACATTTCAACTTAAGAATGCAGTCCCAATACGGATTAAGTTCTTAAGTCAAGACACCACTGTATAAGACCAACATCTGCAGATAGCTCTTTCTTTTCTGTCTGAAACATTTAGTGAAACCTATCATCTCTGGATGTTACAATGGTCCATGTTACCTAGCCCTGTATTAATGGTGCCCAAACAAACAAATATTGGAACCAAAGCATTGAGTAGCTGGAAGAGCTAAACACACTGCTGCACGCCCCCCCCTTTTAAATTAACTGATTTGATTTATTCAGTCCACTGAACACACATTTACCCACAAAAAGGCAATTCCCCACAAGAAAGTACAATATTTTTATTATTGTAATTTAATCAAAACATATCAATATAGATGCTAACTTCATGTAATTAACAATTTATTTGCATCTTTGGTTTAGTTTGCGAAACTTCATTTAAAAATATAGCAAACCGCTGGATAATTTTAATATTTCACCCTTCCAGACATATTAAACTGACAGCTCATCCATGCAGCCTGAAAAAGCTACCAATACTGTGGGGATGGAAACATGGGCCTCTTTCCAGACCCCCAAAGGCAGCTCATCATATAACCTCCAGGGATCATGAGGGTTATAATATGAGCTATTCTGCCATGTTTTTAGGGGTCCCCAGCACTGCCACACAATTTCTTAAAATTAAATAATTGGGCAATAGAGAACACAATGGGGATTTCAGTAAAAACAAGCAAACAAAGCCTGCTTTTGTAAGAAAAACCATTGGGCACTTGAATGGTGGATGTAGCCCTCTGTGATTCAAAGATGGATGGATGTGGCCTCCAAACCACTACTGGCCACCCCCACCCTGTAATACTGGATGCACTGTCTTCCCACTAGCCTCTTGGTTAAACCTAAAATAAAACAATGCCTCTGATAGGGTGTCAATACTCCCTGAGACATAGGGGCCAAATCTTAAGGCATAGGATATTCTTTTATATCATTCTTCCAACAACTGATGGAAGGATGCATCAAATCAGAAGTTACTATTTTAAAAATTGATATTTAGATAGAGATAGATTCCCTAGATAGCATGTTGCATACTGTTAGGGAATGTTAACTTTTGAGCCAATGGTGGGCAGCCAGTTTACTTAAGCCAATCAATTCTGGCCAAAATCCTGTTGCTCAGTTATGCAAAACCCAAAACTTTTAGTTGTAAACTGCTGTAAATTAAGAAATATCCATAGGCATTATTGAGTCATGTGACACAGTATGCAAGAGATAGTGCTTACAAAGATTTCTTAATGTACAGGAATTCACCACTAACGTTATACCTTTTACATAACTGCACAACAGGATTTCAGTTTCTATCACTTTATGCCCCAGATCCTTTAGCTAATCAGCAGCTTAGTTTGTGGATTCTCAATCTGAGTATGTTCTTCCTTCCTTGCAGCTAGAATTATAAGAACACTTCAACATTAAGTAGACTAGGGTGCCAGTAATGCTTCTAGATCCTAAATATTACCAGTAGCAAAGTACCAACTTCTGCACTGTATTTGCTACGGTGTATAGCTGGTTCCTAAATATAGATCTGCCCTTACTTTATATTTTGAAGAGCTAGGACCATTTTCTGGAAGAAGTCGTACAATAACTATTTTGGCCCTATGTTAAATCTTGCTAAGTTTGGCCTTACTTCTGTATTTGGAATCTACAGAAAGAAAATGCTTAAAAAACTGCTGGTGAGACCCAACAAGATTAGTTTTTTATACATATTGGGGATTGCACTATAATACAGTGACAGTAATTTCACTTGTTGAAAATTTATATACATATTTTGACACAAAGTAGAAACATTTATTCCCCATTTTATAAAATATTCAAAGTTGACAAATCTGCATTGTTTTTTTCAATGGACATGGTACTCAGGATATAGGTATAGTACATATTTATACAGTGAGATACTGTATGCCAAGGATGAAATCCTGTTGGTGTAACTATGCCTGAAGAAGTCCGATGATACCATCAGCAGGGACAAATTGAACACTTCCTATTTTTGTCCCATGTCTCCCACAGCTTGTCAGAAAGCAGTGGGAGTAATAGGAACAAGTGTTTAAATACTGAAAATTTCTGCCAGCAATGTTAAAATTGATGACAGCAATTTTCAATAATTAAACACTTTTTCCTCCAGAGTGCTTCACAACAATGAAAATGATTACTTAGAAGTTGTGGGAAGCAAGGGACAGAACAAGGAATGTTTAATTTCTGAAAAAAATGTCTCTGCTGATGATGTCATCAGTCTTTCACAAACACAGTTATGGCAACAAGATTTCAGCCCATGACCATCAATTTCTAAGTTTTGTACAATTGTTTTGGTACAAAAGTTTAAATAATTTATTCTTGGCTAAAATATGGTTTATAAATCACAAGTCTTCTGCCTTGGTTTTAAAATGAACTATTTGGTAAGACAATTCAAATGGATATGAATGTTAAATTTCACTTCTGGACATTTTATTCAGAGGTGGGAATCATGCAGACATAAAACTGGTTGTGTGCTTTGTCACACTTAGGAAAGGAAAATAAATCCAATGACTAGAAAACCGGTCTTTTAAAAAAAATCAAAGAATCGTATCTCTTGGGATGCATATCTCTGTATCAAGGTGTGCCTCTACAAATACTTTGTCTTAACAAAACATTCAGTTTTGTAATGATTTTTAAAGCACCTGATGCAATCCTCCTAGAGGATTTGGGGATTGGAAAAAAACACTCCAGAACATGTCCATATCACTTTATTCACATTGTGAACTGATACAGATTTTGGAAATACCCAAAATCATTAAAAGAGAAAGACAAAATTACTCAAAAGCAACATTTAAAAGAATAAGAGAACATAATTATTTTAAAATATGACATGCTTAAATTTTTTTTACCAGAGCACTGCTCTGTTCTAAACATTATATGCAAGAATGAAGAACAAACCGTAGTGATTCTGAAGACACCTCCACCATCGTTCACCATCACTTTATGAAGATTTCTTGAAACAAGGCCTTGCAGATCCTGGCTTTCCCACACAATAGTGCCTTCAAAACTCTGTCAAAACAGTAACTGCATATTATTGATACCATATATTGTATCTGTGAGCATACATCAGAATAAAATGTTTTATAAATCGTTAAGACTCTCTGGAGAATAAGAAATTGAAGTTGTTGTTGTTGTTTAGTCGTTAAGTCGTGTCCAACTCTTCGTGACCCCATGGACCAGAGCACGGCAGGCCCTCCTGTCTTCCACTGCCTCCCAGAGTTGAGTCAAATTCATGTTGGTTGCTTCAATGACACTGTCCAAGCATCTCGTCCTCTGTTGTCCCCTTCTCCTCTTGCCTTCACACTTTCCTAACATCAAGGTCTTTTCCAAGGAGGCTTCTCTTCTCATGAGATTGCCAAAGTACTGGAGCCTCAGCTTCAGGATCTGTCCTTCCAGTGAGCACTCAGGGTTGATTTCCTAAAGAATTGATAGGTTTGTTCTCCTTGCAGTCCAGGGGACTCTCAAGAGCCTCCTCCAGCACCACAGTTCAAAAGCATCAATTCTTCGGTGGTCAGCCTTCTTTATAGTCCAGCTCTCACTACTGGAAAAACCATAGTCTTGACTATGCAGACCTTTGTCAGCAAGGTGATGTCTCTGCTTTTTAAGATGCTGTCGAGGTTTGTCATCACTTTCCTCTCAAGAAGCAGGCATCTTTTAATTTCGTGGCTGCTGTTATAATCATGGAGCCCAAAATTCTGTCACTGCCTCCATATCTTCCCTTTCGATTTGCCAGGAGGTGATGGCGCCAGTGGCCATGATCTTAGTGTTTTGTTTTGTTTTTATGTTGAGCTTCAGATCATTTTTGGCGCTCTCTTTCACCCTCATTAAGAGGTTCTTTAATTCCTCTTCACTTTCTCCCATCAGAGTGGTATCATATGCTTTAATTTTAACATTCATCTTCTTATCTAAGCTAACAGCTGCATAATGTGTAAGTACTGTAGTTGGAATGGAGTACTAGAAAGAGATAAAAATGTAATACCATGGTATGTCCATGAGAGGCATGCCATTTTGTTATTACTCAGAGTTTTTAAACTATACTTTAAAAATGTTAGTTTAAAAAAACACTATTATATCCAAATGATAAGTAATGAAATACTTGCATTCTTTCACACAACTACCATAGCTATAGATTACAGCTGGCTATTGTTCCTGAAATTCTAACATCATAAAAAGATAACAAGAGGATCAAGAAACAATGCATGGATGCTGACAGAATTTTCTGAACCCAGAGAAATTTAGAAGGGCTAGGCTCACTGTTTCCTTCCCATAACATACTGGCAAGATCCGTCTGATCTGGGCGGCTCTCCAGTCGAAGCTCAGGTCACCCTATGGAATAGGGAGATGACCCAGGCGGTTGACACGATTGCACCTAAGTGCCCTCTTCCTGCACGCAGAGCCGAGACAGCTCCTTGGTTTACATCTGAACTGCAACTGGGAGTCTGATCGATGAGGCAGCTGGAGCACAGGTAGAGGAAATCCCACTGGGAGTCTGATCGAACACGACTTAGAGCCCATTATTGGACCTCTTTCGTTGCAGTATGGCTGGCGAAATGGCAATATTTCACCATCTGTATTGCTTCTTCATAATGTCGTCCAGCAGAGCTGTTTCGTGTGGTCCGGGATCTTCTTCAACCGGGAAATCCGGTGAAGGTCCCGGACTGCTCATCAGCTCGCTGTGATGAGTTTGCCATTTATTTTGAGGGGGAAATTGCTCAGATTCGCAGTGGGTTGGACCCCACCATTAATGCAGAATCAGAGGATATGTCCAGTGTGCCATGCTTAGATCAAGTATTAATGGATGAGTTTCAATTGTTGAGACCTGAGGATGTGCACAAAGTGCTTGAATCTGTCCATTCTACCACTGCTCTCAACCCTTGCCCATCTTGGCTAATTGGAAGATCTGCCAGGGGGGTTTGCACCTGGAGGAAGGCCGTGAACGCCTCTTTGAGAGAGGGAGTGGTCCCTACCACCTTAAAAGAGGTGGTAATTCGGCTACTCCTAAAAAAGCCTAACCTGGACCCAAGCCTTGTGGTTAACTACCGACCAGTGGCGAACCTCCCTTATTTGGGCAAAGTGCTGGAGTGGGCTGTGACCAGACAACTCCAGGTGTTGCTGGATGAAATGGATTTTCTGGATTCATTTTAATCGGGTTTCAGGCCGGGTTTTGGTATGGAGATTGTCTTGGTGGCCCTGTACAATGACCTTTGCCGGGAGAGAGACAGGGGGAGTGTGACTCCTGGATCTCTCAGCGGCTTTCAACACCATCAACCATGGTGTCCTTCTGGATAGGCTGGCTGGGTTTAGGATTTGGGGTACCGCTTTACGGTGGTTATGCTCCTTCCTGGCTGACTGTGTCCAGAAGGTGGTGCTGGGGGACAGTTGCTCTGTCCCATGGCGTTCATGTCATGGGGTTCATCAGGGCTCAATAGTGTCCCCCATGCTGTTTAACATCTACATGGAACTGGTGGGAGAGGTCATCAGGAGGTCTGGGCTGAGGAATCAGCAATATGCTGATGACACTCAGCTCTACCTCTCGTTTTCCACCAATCCAGGTGAGACGGTTTCTGTGCTGAACTCATGTTTGGACCTGAAAATGGTCTGGATTATTGGTTAATACATTTTTAGCACTACTTGTGTTTTCCATTTTAAGTGACATTTTTAAATGTTTTTATATATTTATTGATCTTTGCCTTAATATTGCCTCTTAAGGCTATAAGATGCCTCCTTATTCATTGTTCGTATAAATATTGTCTTTTAATGATGTTAACCACCACTGTATACTCGTTGTTTTCAACTTTAAATATTGCCTTGCATTATTGTAAGCCGCCTTGGGTCCTTTTCAAGGAGAAAGGCAGGGGAAATTATTTTAAATAAATAAAAATAAACAAACAAATCTATTGTTTTAAACTGGAACAAACATGCTACTGGCATATGTCTTTGCTGGCAACCCTGGCCAAGGATTAAGGAATCTGTACAGTTTTACAAGAATGTGTGAGGGAAAACAAAAACTGAGAAACTCACCTTTGAGCTCCTCTACACAAAAACAATGCATGATACATCAACTACTTTGCTGTTAAACTAGAGAGATCAAGCTGCATTAAACCTGGAAGCCAGAGACGTCACTTCCGCTCGGGGGGATGCATTAAATCTGGAAGCCAATCCCACAGCACTCCCCACACTAATCACATTATGGCTAATTAGCACAACCTTTTCTTTTAAATAAATGGCAGTCCAGATGCCTTTCTCCGTATTCTTACCTCGAACACAATACTAAGAATTTTTACAGGAAATCTTCTTTAAGTTATGTTGCAGCAAAAGCAAACAAACATGCAACAACAAAGTCTTATGACACCATACAGACTTAACTTATTTAATATGGGCCCATGGAGATGTGTGTGTGTGTACACACATGTGATATGTGTGCTTGGGAAATGACAGCAAGGTGAGGAAACTAAATGCAAAAACTACAAATGATACTGACTTGGTTACAGTAGGATTATATGTAAGCAAAAGAAGCACAGCTTTGTAACAGCAACAGTAGACAACAGAGCCAACACGAGTGCGACACATGTTTATTTAAAAAGTGGGGTTATTAGGAAAGCAGCATCTACTGAATTGAGATATTATTAAAGTGTTTTTGAAAGTATTTTAATTGTGGTTTAAATATAGTTTTGTGTTTAATTTTTAACAAATATTATATCTTATGTTTCAAAAATTGTGATTATTGTTTTAATCGGACTGTGTGTCACCTTCAGTCCTCTATGGGGAAAAATACAGTGGTGCCTCGCATAGCGAGGTTAATCCATTCCGGATTAACCTTCGCTATGCGAAAACATCGCTGTACGGATCAAAAAAAGCCATTGGAACGCATTACACATCGTTTAATGCGTTCCAAATTGGCAGAAAACTCACCGTACAGCGATGTTTTCCGGGTCCGGCAGCCATTTTCGCGCCCTCAGTAAGCGAGGGGAGGGTGCAAAACTGCTGCATGCGGCCATTTCGGCCGCAGCGAGACCGCAGATCAGCTGTTTGGCGGGTCCAAAATGGCCGCTGGAACACCCAAAATGGCTGCGCACAGCGTTTTCGCACCCTCCCCTCGCTTACCAAGGGCGTGAAAACGCTACCCACGGCCATTTTGGGTGTTCCGGCGGCCATTTTGGACCCGCTGAACAGCTGATCCGCGGGTCGCAAAGAGGAGGTCGGTAAGCGAAACGCTTACCGATCTTCGCTATGCGAACAGCTGATCCGCGGCATCGCAAAGCGAAGATCGGTAAGCGAAACGGTTACCGATCTTCGCTATGCGAGTTTCGCACATTGGGGCCGACCCGATGCCTTCGCATTAGTGATCCCGGAAAAGGGATCGCTATGCGAATTCATCGCTGTACGGGGTGCTCGTTAAGCGAGGCACCACTGTACCACTTATAAAGCAAACCAAAGCAAATTAAATTCCTCTATCTATAGAAGCCATTTGCTAGTTCAACTAGATTAGACCTATTAAGTCAATTGGATTTATATAGCAACCATTCAACAGTTTATACAAGCGTTATCTAGTTGGGATTAGCAACTGGATCTAGGCCTAGTGAGGAGAGAGACATCTAAGCAACATGTTTTGCAAAGAATGAATTATGTTAATATTCAAGTAGCCCTCTACGGACAACTAACAAAACAAGCTAATTTTGTCAAGCTGTGTTTCACAGAAGCCTTGTTTGCAAAGGCTGATCCATTTAAACAGCAAAACTTACATTCATTTAAATTTCTTCCAACTCTGTGTTCCCATTGCTTAAAAACAGCACTCAGCTTGAGACATATGAAACTGAGCCAACACTCAAAATTCTAACATAAAATATGCCAGTGTACTTACACAATCTTCTATACTATTTTGCCACATTCTTATTTGCTTACACAATCATGTCAGGGCAATTGTACAAGCAATTCCCACCCATCCCCACCCCACGAACGCTGTATAACTTGTCATACACTGGTTGCAAAACCAGGTGTATGACCAGTCACACAATGAACAGTGCAGGAGGAGGAAAAACCACTATGTCCATGGTTTATCTCCTCTGGATTTTGGCCTTTGAATTGAACCTTGTCTTCTTTATATGAACAAGCACAGGAGAACAGGAAAAAAGAGAAAATGTTGCAAGTTTATTTTTATTATTTTTGTGACACTTTTAAAATTTAAACATGCATGCAATTTTCTTATACAATGCTAAATATTTATTTTCCCATCAAGAAACAGGAAAAAAAATGCTGCCCAGAGTAGACCATTCGTCTAGATGGGTGGGGTATAAATCTAATAAAATATAAACTAACCAAATAAAAAAAATAAATAGTTCAGCAATGATAGTGACCTACAATCTGCCTGCTGAAAGCCTCAGGTCTAAAACTGTTGAAAAGAAAACAGTAGCGACACACATGACAAAGGTTCTCCATATCTAAATAGCATCTTTATTGCAGTTTGAGCGCCTTTTCATTTATGAAGGCAACAGAACAGGTGTATTGATTTAATGCAGCTGTCATATTATGCTATGTGTCTTCAAGTCAGAACTGACTTACAGAGACCCCAATAGGGCTTTCAAGGTAAGTGAGATATTTAAGGAGTGGTTTTTACCAACTCCACACCCTCTGTGAACTTCAATGACAGAGCAGGGATTTCAACCCAGGCCTCCTGAATCCTAGTACAGTATGTCATTCTATCCACTACACCACAATGCAGCTACATCTCTGAAAAATGTGCAGCAGGGTGTTGGCTGTTATTGTTTTGATGAAGGCTCATTAAAATGACATAACAGACATAACTGAGTCAAGGACAAATCAATGCTACTTTCAACTGGCCTCTTACAAACTCTGCTTCTTTAGGTATACATTTTAACTGTAGACACTCCTGTCCTTAATCAGGCTAAAGCTTTGAGAAAAAGACTCAATCCAGTCTGACAGCTAAGTTGTCTAAACCTTTCCTCTTTCCCCTTCACTCCTCTTAAGAGCATGAAAAAGACAGCTGTACTTCGATTCCCAAAATGGATAATCTTCATCCACCAGATGGACAAACTTCATCCCCTTCATCCTACGACAAAAATGGTAACTAATAGCGTCTTTAGTAGATAATTGATTACGTCTCAAATCAACACTAGTCACCACTTTAGAGAGGCAAGTGCATTTAAGACTACAGTATTTATGTAAATCAAAAGGAAATACAACGAACCCTTTAGTGTGTCAGCCATGTCATATGTGAAAACTCTTTGCAATTTTTAAAAAACTAGAACATCATTTAAATAAAAGCTAAAGGTAATTAGCAAAACAAACCCAAACAATGCAAATCTTTCTTAATACAATTAGCTAGTGCTTCACATACCTATTGCCAAAAAAGGCCATATTATGATCTATATATCTGTTTCAAGTTAATTATTGTAAAGAAGTTGGAAACAAGAGTTTTGGGTCTGAATATCATCTGCCAATTTCAAACTTAATTTTCCTTGCACGCATCTCTGTTTGTTAAGAACTATCTTGATAAAGTTTACACGGGGGGGGGGGGAATTCTTATCTCATTGTTTCTCAAAATATGTCCATGATGAGAGTTTCTAAATTTTCAATTTTTGCTTTAGGATGTTCTGCGTGCACCATGCAGGGCTTGAACTCAAGTCTAAATCAAGAAGCACAAACTTTAGCACAAACTATTCACTCTCCACTGTGAAAACAATTAAATGAGCTTTAATTTAGAAAATCCTGGCATATGATACAATGTTTCCCAAAGAAAGGCTGCCTAAAATCTCCTTTCTCTATATATCAAAGCTTTGAGACAATTCTCTTGAAAGCTTAACATGCCATCTCCCATCTCCCACATAGATCATTAAGTCATTAGGACCTTAAGAAGATTTTGGTTACTTACAGCAGAACAGAATCAAAGAGCTCTGAGCTGCAAAAAGAAATAAATACTAGTGCCTAGAATGTGTGACATTTCACAGTCTCAAAGCTTTTCAAATATTAATTACTACTGAAGAAGGCTGAACAAATCTGAGCAGATGAAAACCCCAAATGACAGTGGTAAGCATCAGTCAACTATTTGCTCAAGTTATATGCTACACATACCTCAGGTAGAATGAACTGTTCCACGGGTTTATACCAAAGTCTGTTCACTTGTACTCCAGAGCTAGGTGGACTAAAACGAGCACTGAAGAGAGCCTCCTAGGAAAACAATGAGCAATACTCTTGTAAGTCATGAACCTGATCAATGCAATTCATATTCACCCACTCTTGTTTAGTTCATGACAGAAAAATACAGTACGCACTTTAGAACCAAAGGTATATATACAACCAATTCTATGTGTTTTTTTTTTAAACATAGGGGCCTTATCATTTTTTTTTACAAAATACCAACTTTTAAAGATTCTGTACTTAATAAGGTTAAAATAGAAGTTGCTAAATAACTGGGGGGAAGTGAGGTAAAAGTAACAATGAGCCCATTTTTTTTCAAACCCCTGCATCAAAATTTTAGAATTTCAGCCAACTCTACTGACATTTAGATACCAGTACTAGAATTTTAAAAATGTCTTGTCCACAAAGCATATCATAATAACTGTCAATTATATTCAAACCATTCAAAATAGCCAGAGGTGTTCAGTTCAGGACATTATTTCCAATGCAGATCTCACAGTAGAAGAAACCCACACCTGCATCAGAGTATATTTTTAATTACCTGTTTTAAACCCAACACCACACAACCCTTTCTATTATTTGTAATTTTGGAACTGGTTGTACAGTGTGTGGACAAAGTGATGGTATCAATTTACCAGCCAGACAGACACACTTCATGGATACTCTCGCCTACTCCTAATGTCGTCTGACACATCTCTATTTGGGCATATGGAAAAAAAAAGATTGGATAGTTCTCTCTTTTTCTTTTTCTTTTTCCTTCTCCAAACCTCCGTACAAGTGAGAGCTTCAGGGAGTGGAACCTGTTTGGCAGAAGGCTAGAGGCAATCATGCCTAAAGAGCTTGTAAGTTGGGTTACAGAAACCTGGCCACACTAAATTAACATTGTGCAGACACGGAATGAAATGAACCAAGTGTGATAATCAATCCACATGCCATACCATGAAATATCTCAACAGGTAAACAGTACTACTGAAATAATAATTCATTTCATACTCTAGTTTAGTACATTGCAGTTTCAAACACTTCATTTTGAGGTTTACTTCTCAACAGGCACATATGGAATTGCACTGTTAACATTTCTGTTCTAGCTCTTAGGGTCCAAACCTTTGTAAAGTGGCTTACCAAAAACCAATAAATACAAACCACATAACCAAAATTAGTCTGCAGGAAAATCTAAGTAATTATCCAAATAAAGTACAAGTATAGCTTATACTGATCTTATAGCACAGGGTAGGCACAGTGCAGGCTTTCAGATGTTGTTACACTGCATCTCCCTGTATTCCTCACATTGGCTATGTCAGTTAGGGCCAACAGAGTTTACACTTCAACATATTCTGGACTGGAGGATCACACTTACTGAATACTAGCTCTATATTCAGTAAACAAGGAGGCTACACCATGCTCTACAGGAAAGGGGTGACAGAAACACATGTACGTATGTATGTACGTATGTACGTACGTACGCACGCACACACAAAGAACACCCATAGAATCACTAGTCATCATGATGTGAATAAAAAATAAATTTGATGACCTAGTAAGAGTTTGTATGTCCCTATTCCTGTGACATGATTATCTATTTAATAAAAGGCAGAAGGCTGAGGTCACATCCTTCAATAGACTGCCATCCTGAGAGTTCCAAATGTTCACAAGGCATACAGGACACACAATGTTACCACCTGCTTTCTTGCCATTTTGAACCCTTTTTCTCTTTCCCATTACTCTTCCTACTTATTCATCCCATTAGTTTAACTTTTAACTGCCCAAATATGCTGAACAGCCTTTGAGTAAAACAAAAAGTCACACAAAATTATAACACTGCACAGCTTCTAGAAAGGCTATGGATTTAGTCCACTCTGCTAAGTGCAGCAGCATACCTCTTGTTCTGCCTGGTATAGTTTCACTGTGATGTTCCTCTGGAAACCTACATCCTTAGCATCATAGAACACCCCAAGACTGGTGATGACAATGGGGTAAAGGACTTTGAAATGCACACTGACCACTCTGTCTTCTGAGAGCACTGACATATCATCCTCTGGCAGAGTGAATGCTTCAATTTCTTGATTCAGAACTATTGGAGAGAGAGAAAAAAACAGTATAACACAAAGACATATATAGTAGGCAAAAAAGCAAACAAAACTCAGTAATTTTGGAAAATTCTTACTCTGCAAAATATGAAATGATTCTGTATTAATTACAATCATTTGTAGGTGCAATGGAGAATGTACTTAGATACCGTTTACATTTTAATCCTTAAAAACATTTAATTGGAAATATATCCAATTTGTTTTCTGCATACACCAATTAAGATTGTACATTACTTCCTAGCTTACTGTCTCAGCTCCCTGATAATATTAGTCTTTCAGTTTGAGTATAAAAGTATCAGAATATATGCTGTATTGTGGCAGCCACAATATATGAAAAGTCTGTAAGTTATAAACGTGCATCACATAATGTACAATTCATCTAATGTCAAAATATTTTTCTTACCTGGATTACTGATGTTCAGAAGCCTGCATGAATAAGGATCCTCTCTGTCTTCTACTGGCACATCACATCCATGTGCACCAATTATAAACTTCACAAGGACACTACGATATTATAATTAACATTTGTTGATTTCTGTTTTATTATATTCAGAATGGTTATTTAAAGGACAAATATAAGCTTTACAGAAAAACAAGGTTATTTGGGATGCATTCTGAAAATTGCCTTTTACAATTAACTACTGTAACCACTGCAAGACCATTCACCATGGGCTTTTACAAAAGACAAAAGGGCAAAAAGAAGATTCTTTTCTATTTAGCTATTTTAGTATTTGTTTCTCTATAATTGCCCCATTAATTTCCCTCAGCTATCTGAATGAGAAAACTAGAGAACAACAGTTATGCTAGGATTTAGGTTCTACAAATTTACCTCATAATAACGGGGAAGGGGAAAAGATCAAAAATATAATTTATTTTAGTTAATGAAATAATGACAATTATCATACATACCTATTATATTCATTAGCATAAAGTTTTTCCAACTGAACTTGTCTATCTTACCTGCACCTGCTCCCTCCAAAATAAGACCTAACCTGAAAATAAACCCTAGTATGATTTTTCAGGACGCCCGTAATATAAGCCCTACCCCAAAAATAAACCGCAGTTAAGTGAAACCCCACCCTCCACCATTGTGCAGCAACCAGAAGAAGATATGACTGTATTTGAGTAAATGTAGATTGTTGTACATGAAAAAAAAAACATCCCCTGAAAATAAGCCCTAATGCGTTTTTTGGAGCAAAAATTAATATAAGACCCTGTCTTATTTCTAGGGAAAAACAGTATGTCACAAACTACGAGCCTCGAAGACTCCAATTGTACAGAGTAATTCAGTGGGAAGTTCACAGAAAGGATGAAGAAAAGCACTATCAAACAAATATTTTAACATACAGCAATAATATTTCTTGTCAGAACATTCGGAAGGAAGCACCAGATTTCCTATTACTATGGGTTGTTTTTGAAAATGATTCTAAGAATATTGGGATTTTCATAAATAATCATGAAGTCTTGATTTGGAGCTTTATAAGAGAAGGGATAGGGCTAAAAGAAGTACTGGGAATTACCGCTGACTTAGTCCTGGGTGTTGTTTCAAATGCTTGAACCAAGTGTTCCTTATAGCATTGCGCAATTCAACATTATTCCGTGCAGACAGCACCCCTACAATGACATCATAATGTTTTGGTTTCCAATGGGGAAAGAAAGCCAGTAGACCTGAAAGTATAAATGAACAATGCCAATTAGAAAGCAAGCAAAGAAGCATGCTAGTGGTTGCTGCAGACAGATTACTGTTGCAAGCAAAGTGTTAAAAAATAAAAATGAGCAGCACTGTAGCAATTAACTTTTGTGATAACAGCCCTTGTTTTCATTGTGTAATTATATGTAAACTCTTTAGCAAGAATTAGCCAAATAATTCATGATGTAATAAATCAAAAGTATGTAATAGGAAACACAAACTTAAAAAAGAAAACGTTACCTCTTAAATTTGGAGAGAGAGAACATGCAGATTTCAGAAATGTGTTTTCACATGAGATCAGCAGAAAGAGTGCCAACAGGAAAATACTTCAATTTGCTTTTTTTACAACATTCTCCCCATTTTAAAAATAAACTTCATAATATGCATATATTCATAACATTATGTTCAATGCTATGTTGAGAAGATACGCTGTTACACAATTAAGGAAACAAACATTTTATTCTCGCAGCATGATGTGAGCATTTGCGTTTCAGGAAGGCAGGAGTAAAGGTATGCATATGTTTTGGGTTTTTTTAGCTATTAATGGGTATAACTACTATGGCTAAAAGCCTCACTAAAAATAAACTTACAGTGAACTGGTTTCCTTTAAATTAAAGTGTTCTCCTAAAATGAAAACTAATAAACAAGGCAAAAGTCCTACAATGAGATAGCACGCATCCATGACCTATTTCTACTACGGAAATACTCAGGCTTATATTTAGCATTGGCAAGAGATACGTTTCATCTCACTCTGCTTAATTTGAGAATTAATCCAAGAAATTTAAGTGACAAACCAAGGAAATGCCAGAACAGTTTAGAACTCCTCTTGCACGTACAGCAGAAGAATCAATTTCAGAAGTCTAATTTTAGTATGCCCCAGAAGATCTACTGATTTACACTGCATGTTCTAGATATAACAGTTTGGGGATGTCCAATAACATCACTGTATTTACGAAATATCTTTACCTCAGATGTCTGCAAAATAGCTTCATGGAATCCTATAATCACAAATTTACTACACATTGTAATTAAAAAGAAAACCATGTGTAACCATGGGTTCATTCCAATGGTGACAACTCTCTATCCAGGATACTACCATTTTCATAATATATGAGTGTACTCTTAATTAGCTGAGAAGAATAGACATGATGATACGCAGAGTGACTTGGTGTTATAAAGCCAGGGGAAGTTTCCCTTGGACTAGTTAGGTTGAAAATATTTCAAAACCCAAATCTCAGCATGAATATTCACAATTCTTATTATTATTTTCAACATGGTTAATCTTCCAATACACTCGAACATATGAGTGTAAATTTTAAAAGACCCCTACCCTTTCTTTCCACCTTTGAATTGGTAAGGGAGCAATTATTTTTCTTATACACTGTAGTTGTGTGCTGTATGAGATGATACACTGTGTGGAAGTTCCTTGTCCCAAATTCTTGTTCTAAGCAGGCTAGGGCTTACTATCAAGGTCATCTAAGCTATTCAACAGCCTAGCACTATAACGATCTCTGTTTACTTCCCCACCTCCCCAAACTGGTTTCATCAGTAGTTATATGTGAATAATGAATCACTAATTCTAGTTACTTTTTTCAGATTGCAACACTATACAGTAAAACTGGCCAGGGTGTTGACAGCTTGTAGCCAAATAAGAAATATATTTATATTTGTAGTCCGTATCAATCAATCAATAAGTTACTACAAGTAAAACATTTTTAAAATTCCAACAAACCCTTTAAATTTCCCAAAAAACAGTGGTAAAATGATGCTTTGATCAAACCAGTAAAGAGATTTAACAGCATATTTCTTATATAAATGTCTGCCATTCAAAGCAGACTGTAGTTGTCAAAATAGCTTCTTTCCTGGCTTCATGTTAGTTGTCCATAGCACCAAAGTGAAATGCAATGGCACCAAGGTAAGGAAGAAGTGCAAGTGACAAGAATACAGTTGCTTTCTTCCAGTAAGTTAAGATTGCACTATAGAACTAGACATTAGCATTACAACCAAAATGAAACTGAACCACTAGCAGCAAAGCTGACAGCACTGACACAAGCAGAAGATGACACAAAGAGCCCCAAATCTAGGTAAGGATGACAAAATTAAAAAACATTCAGAGTTGATTTGAAAATCTTAAAAATAGAATTTATGCGATCACAAACTGACAGAGTACAAGGGAGGATGTGAGGTGTGACATGTCTAATGAGTTTATTGAATATGCCTTTGCCCTGTCCTTCAGAGAACAACTTGAGAATCAGGGAATACAAGGACTCCAGAAATCAGATTCTTTGCCCTGATACATTACACTACACCACTGGTTCTTAACCTTGGGTTACTCAGGAGTTTTGGACTGCAACTCCCAGAAGCCTTCACCACCAACTGTGCTGGCTGGGGTTTCTGGGAGTTGCAGTTCAAAAGCATCCGAGTAACAAAGGTTAAGAACCACTGCACTACACCATTCACTGAATAACTTTGTGAAGATTTTTATTGTAGAAACGGAAATAGTATTAAAAATAGAAAAGCCAAACAAATGGGAATAGATACTTTTTAAAAATAAAACTCCCAACATAACCCTGCCAGCGTCACTACTGGTCATGACTGCAAGGGTTTTGTGGAAATTACAGTCTAAAAAAAAATAACATTTCCCATTTTCAGAAACCAGTTCACAGAGAGAAACCACTCTAAAGCAACTGCAACAGATGCTGTTCTAGATCTAAAAGTAGCCCTATGAACAAAGTTACCTAAGGAACAAATAGAAACTGACTTACCTGTGCAAAAAGATTCAACTCAGGTTGGTGCCTCAGCTATGGAAAGCAGAGGGGAAAATACAAAGCAAAAACCCCCTACATAACACTGCCAGGATGGTGGCTGAAATGACATGCAGCCTAACAACAAAACAGCAACGAGAAAACGTTGGACTGGTAGGGCACTTGATTCTAATTTGTTGACAAAAACAAAAGATTGTTAGGAAAAAAACATTTTAAAAATCTAGAAAGAAAATTCCCATCCATACTGCAATCCAAGCTCTGCTGTATTGTCAGTGTTTGAAATTTTGTGTCTATAAGGCCTTTAAAAAAGATTAAAAGAGGTGTAGAAAAAGTTGCCCTGAAAACGAAAGCACATTTAACAGTACAGCTTGAGAAATAGTTTACATTAGTCAAAGCAAGAAACAACTGACTACAGTCAAGCCTGAGAATAAAATCATGATTCAAAGCAAGAAACAACTGACTACTTTACAGTCAAGCCTGAGAATAAAATCATGATATCATAACACTCTGGACCATAAAGAAAGCTGACCACAGAAGAATTGATGCTTTTGAATTGTGGTACTGGAGAAGGCTCTTGAGAGTCCCCTAGACTGCAAAGAAAACAAACCTATCCATTCTGAAGGAAATCAACCCTGAGTGCTCACTGGAGGGACAGATCCTGAAGCTGAGGCTCCAATACTTTGGCCATCTCATGAGAAGAGAAGACTCCCTGGAAAAGACCCTGATGTTAGGAAAGTGTGAAGGCAAGACGAGAAGGGGACGACGGAGGATGAGATGGTTGGACAGTGTCATTGAAGCAACCAACATGAATTTGACCCAACTATGGGAGGCAGTAGAAGACAGGAGGGCCTGGCGTGCTCTGGTCCATGGGGTCATGAGGAGTCAGACACGACTAAACGATGACGATGATAACACCGCTTTGAAGTACTGTATTTTATTCATATCTGTCAGTTTAGCATAGAAGTAAACTAAAGATTAAATGATACAATTAGTGGAATTGTTTTTAATAACAAAATAAATTTGGCATTTACCAGTTCAATAGTACATCCTATTGGTGATCGTAATTGTCTGATTTTTAAAATTTATTTTCTATTCATTTTCCATTAGTTAAGGGAAGATCATAGGGAAGGGGATTTGGATCAGAGTATTGGGATAAATACTATTTGCCGTAATTGATTTTTTAATGGTCTAATGTCATAAAACCTTGATACAATAAGCTTCCTTGTTGGTCTAGGGCAGCGATGGTGGACCTATGCCACATGTGCCAGAGCTGGCACGTCAAGCCCTCTTTGTGGGCACGTGAGCTGTAAGTCGCTGGATCGCTACCCCCAGCAGCCAAACCTGAGGAGGCGGCTGCAGCTACGGTGTTAGCACCCTGACAGGTGGTGGGCCAGGATCTGGAGCAACTGGTGCTGGCGGCGACGGGCTGGCTGAGTTATAGGCAGTGGCAGTGTTGGGCACAACTGGAGGCAGATCCAGAGTGGAGTCTGGAGGCACCTCCATGCCCAGGATTCCTCCTTCTGCCACCATTTCTGCTTCCGCCGCTGCTGCCACCTGCTGGGTTGGTGTTTCTTTTTTTTCAGTTTGGGCACTCGGACTCATAAAAGTTAGGCATCACTGGTCTAGGGGCTTATAATTATAAATTATTAGACTTTTGGAATTTGCAAAATTGATAGTGAAAACAATGACAATTAATCAAATATGAAAATTGTAGACCCCCTCCCGAGACACAAAGACTAAGGGAATAACATAATTTTCTATTCAGAAAATTTTGCTGGACCTCCGGGACCCTAGAATATGTAGACCTTGAAGATAAGGTTTGTTTACAGGAAGGGAGGAAGTGCGAAGAAATAGTTATGAATATGGGGAGATAGGACACATGCAAGCAAGTCATTCAGCAAATCATAATGAGTAATTCCACACTGCACTACAGGTGCCTGATATCAGCAACAATCATATAGCACAACAGCTGGGCACAGAGGCAATTCACAAACATTGTAGATTTTCCTCCATAGATTTTAACTGACAAGCAGTTGGGTGAAATTTGGAAAATGTATTATTTTTCTCTGTGTGTTATTAATATGCTTAGAGGCCAAGTAATGTATTTTACTTTTTTTTTTTACTTTTAACATCTCTGATAAATTTTTCAATGCTTTTTAAGTAAGTCAAAAGATTATATACAGTTATAATGCTTTTTACTTGGACATATATTCTTTCTTTTATTTTTCAATGTGCATTTTAGGTTGTAAGTTCTTGCATTTGTAGAATGTAACTTGAAACATTCTTCTTGATATTTACTTGTACTTTTGCTCATATAACTTAGATTGAATTATAACTTAAGTATTTGCCTACAACTTACTCAGCTTTCATATATTTTAAGTATTTGTGCCTAGTTTTCTTCATAGCTATAGTTATAATTTTAAAACTCTGAAATATTTTGTACATATAGATCATAGAAGCAATCTAGATGAATAAAGCTTGTAGAATTGGGCAAGCTGATGTTGCCTGGAATTCCTGCAATATTGAAAAGACTTACACCTTGAGCAACGTTCCCTCTAATTTTCAGGCCCGTTGTGCAGGGCTCTGCCATCCCATATATGACTTCACCCCCAAATGAGCGCGACTCTGCCCCCCTATGTGAGGTTTTGTCATGACTAGAACCAAAGAGGATGAAAACTATCGCTGTGGGTGTGCGGAGGAAGAGTCCTGCGTGGAAGGAGAAGAATTGTACAGGTGCACACCTTAGAGGAAACCTTGACATTGATACACAGATTAAGTTTTGGTATAATTGTTATAGATTGTTTGGTTTCATTCTGGATTTAACCCTTTTTATTTATATGTAAATGCTAGCTGTGAGAAACACAGGCTTCTAATTTTTCCCCACGGAGGTCTGTAAAGTTCTGTAGGACTCCTAGGGAGGGTCAAGCATCAGTTTTCTGACCTGACAGTACAACACTCTGAGAGCTTGTCCTGTGAGGGTTTATTAAATCAGAAAAGCTTACTTAAGATATGAACATTCAAATGGAATGGAATAAACTCATTCATTCATCCATTCATATTAATTAATTAATAACCCTGGCAGACAAAAGACGGGGAGGAAACAAACAGCTACCATTCCAGGGAAAAAATATGTGCTGTACTTTTTAACCAGTAATATAAATTTGACAAGAGCTCCGGCTAGAGCTACAAAAAAGGAAAAGACTACAAATATTATTGCAGATATCTAAGTTAAGATAAGAACCTTAAAAACACACCCCAGTGATATTAACAAAGCTTTACTTCTTCTTAATCACACTGGTCCAAAACTGAAAGTATTGATATTCAACATCTACCTCATTTCACATTAAATCTGAAGGCACACGAAAGCTTCGTGAATAAACCATAATTGACCATGATATAAAGGACACTGTTAAAATTTTCAAACTGAATAACTCTCTCCATGCTAGCAGATACAAAGCTGGTAAATTTCACAAAAACATTCAGAGATTATTTCTTCCTTCATTGAAAGACACTTTTAACATTATAGAGGGAAAGCGAGACCCTAGGTCCGTGGAGGCAAACCTTTTTCAGCTCTAGTGCCAAAATGAGGGGGTGGGGAAGAAACCTGGTGGCTGCCGTGCGGCCCGGAAGACCAGAACCAGAACAGGAAGTGGCAGTTTCAGGGGAAATCATGGGGACGAACAGGAAGTTAAAGGGGGAATCATGGGGACGGACAGGAAGTTAAAGGACCCAGAACAGGAATAGAAATGGGGAATCCCAGCTGCAGCCACTTCAAAAATTTTGTCACATGCCAGAAGAAAGGGCTTTGTGTGCCAGCTCTGGCACGCGTGCCATAGGTTCGCCATCACTGCCCTAGGTATATGCTAGCGAAGTAGAGCACTATACCCAGACCTAGTAAAGACCTCTGTTCCCAACTGCTTTGGAGTCTCTTGAATCAAGATACTAAGCTGCTTACTGCCAATTTGGCCATTGATCAGATGGGCCTCAGAACTAACCACCTAATGGGAGGCTGCAAGCAGTTTCTAAACATA